GCTGAGGGAAAACAATCTCTGCACATTATGGAGAGTGAAGATGAAAAAAAATACACTTAATCAACTAACATTGATATTACTTCTGGCAATTAGGAGCATGCTGGTAATGATATGAGTTTTCAGCTGTAAATAATTATGCTGCCTGCAGGCCATACTTTAATTCTCGGCTGTATCTATAAACAATAATCAAACCAACAGCAGCAGGCTAAAAGTTGGAGATTGGTGCTCGGCGGAGCAGCGGCTGAGGAGCAGCTTATTGGAGCCCTGTGGTGATGCCAGTAGTCAGGGTCACCTTCAGGTGCTCTCTCATCTGTACTCCAGTGTGCTAATGCTGAGCACTATTGATCAGACTGTATGCATCAACATACTAACACACACACATACGCAGGTGCACACACAAGTAGGAGTTTGCATATAATATCATAGCATTTACATAAATACAAGGTTACATACATACATGTTTTATTAGAAATCACACATAACAGGTGCAGCATTAATGCAGTCAAATAAACATGGAGATAATGATGTGTATTTATAGATAGATAGATAGATAGATAGATAGATAGATAGATAGATAGATAGATAGATAGACAGATTTGTTTTTTTCTGTGATTATTTATTTCATTTATTTAAATCAAAGTATTTTTACTATATAAGTATATTTATTTTGCGTTGGTCTTTGCTAATGTGAAGAAATGCAAAGTTCAGGTGTCAAAGTGAAATCTTAACAAGCTTAATGTGCACATTTGCTTCACTGCTGCTGCTGCAGTATGTCACAGTTTAAAAAGTGCAAAGAAGGAAAAAGAAAACATACAGAACGAGAGTGAGACTTGACAGCTAACTTTTACTCACTGTCAGACAGGAAACGGCGGCCTGCTGATGTGTAAGGACTAAGATGAAGTGCATAATTAAGGAAACATATGAAAGCCGGCACTGGGCCTGAGATTAATTAGGTGCGTGTCAATACCCTCATCAATATCCGATTAACTAATGACACATGGCCCAATGAGGGCTATTGATCTGCTCCAAGTCTGCTCTGTTAATAGGTTGAAGCTGACGTTCAATGGGAAAGCTGACAGGAAAGTGTGAGGAGAGTTTCACAGCGTGCAGGAATGCAGGGCCCAATAAAAACAGTGAAAATCAAAAAGGTCCCCTCAGTCATAAGTAGTCAAATCACATTCCTGTTATGTGGTCTCTGGGGATTCCAGTGATTGCTGTGACCACAACTGAACTTACCCGGCTTTGCTAGAATTCCCATCCTCTTAGTGATAATTAAAAATGACCCCAAAGGATCTCCCTCCCCAAAAAGGAAAAAAAAAAAAAAGACGCTCAATCCAGATTAATGGTGATGGAACGGCCAACATCATAAGTTAGACCCTTTATGATAATGATTGTAATGATAATAATGAACACTTGGATGAAGGATGAACAATCCCCTGTCCTGGAGTTGAATCCCTATACAGGTTAATTAGGAAAGATAACATCATTAGCCACTCTCATGCCTGCACAGAGAATTAATTGGATACGATGGAGATTTAGGTCTATATTTAATCGCATAAACGATCAACGACAGCTTAGCCAGGTAATGGGGGGTCCAAATCGGTGGGCATCTTATTTAGATCAAATTTAACCAGCTTAATGAGCAAAAAGGATCCCAGGAGTTTGTAATGTGGGTGCTGAAGAGATCCCCGTTGCGTGAGGTTCTGATTGAAATGTGTATTAATGATGGTTTATTTTGCTTTGTTAACCTCTGATTGTTTAAGATAATTAAGGAGAAAATCTAACCCCTGGAAAAACAGAGTTCACAGAGTCAATCATAACTGAATTTTGACTCCAGTGCTATTCACTGCTGTAATTGTATATAAGCAATCGCTCTTGTTCTTATGAAAAGGCCACCGATGGCCTGGTGGCGTTGTTGTCATAAATAAAACCCAGTTTGTTTGTTTGTTTGTTTTCTCAGGATGAATTAGCTCGATTTTATGATCTGTTCTGAGGGGGACATTTGAGTTGATATGCCTTATGTCAAGTGTGAACAGCAAAATTCGGCGAACGCTCCTATTCTTCTAACTTCAGCTCTGAAACACGTTTGTCTGCAGTTGCCTCTAAATAATGCATGGGGGGGAACTTTTGTGTGAACTGTCATTTACCACATAATGGATGTTTACAAAGCGGTGTGAGTGCTTCACCGTCAGAGTTCATGGTAATTGGTACTGAAAGGTGATAAAGGAGCCTGTTTTACCAGTTATATTTCTGGTGAATCAGTCTTTGAAGAAGAGCCGTGCCACACTCCCTCATTAATCATGAAACATCATTTAAAGCACAAACAGAGATGCCATCTGGCAGATGAGGCCGCCATACAGCTGAAACTTTATCTTGGCACCACTCGACGGTTACAGTGTTATGAATGGCAAGCCTTCCTCTCTTGAATTCAAAAAACCGCATATTTCCATTTTGGCAAACAGTCAAGTGGAAACCCAGCATCTAGGTTGTGCATTTTACTCATTAAAGAGGGGTGTAATTTCATTTGGACTGTCTCCTCTACTTTTCTGTTCCAGTGAGTGAAAGTGAACATGAGCAGGTTACCTGAGACTGTGTGTCGGCCCGTGTGTGCGTGCATGTTCGGGACAGCGTCATCATTACCTTGACGACTGAGGTGCAGCTGATCATGCTGCAGGAGAACTGGGGCCTCGAAAAGGTAACACTTCTACAAACATAAAAATGCATGTTTATTTGCTAGTTATTTGGATTTAGTATGTTTTATAACCCAGTACATATTCAGAAAGATTTACCTGCTCGGACATAGACTTAAAATTAAATGTGCCTTTGTGAAAATGCATGCAAAATGTCTCCATTACTGTGCTGAGAAACAACAAACATGCCCTTTTCCTCCTCTTATTGTCAGCTGTGTGAACTCTGTGTCTAAAGGGAGACTTGCTGTTGTCAGACACTAAGAAAAGGCCTCTGTCCACGAGAAAATAAAATATTCTTCAGTGCATGGCGCCCTTTCCCCTGGTGACTATTGGATTACTCCCCTTATCCGTGTTCGAGGAAAAGAGAAAGAATGTCAGAGGAAGATTTCAGGTCGCACTATGCCATAGAGAAGGGGAAGTGCCTCGTCTGGTGCAACACAGAGCCCACTGTCATTCTGGATTAAGGCTTGATTGAGCTTAGCTGATGAGATGACAGAGGAGGTGGTCATTCTCAGGGCAGGGGGGGAGACAGGAGAAGGGTTGCAGGTCAAATATAGTATCATCTCATTTTTGGAGAGGCATGGATCCTTGCCGTTCGTGTTGTTTTATTCATGCAGCTGGTAAATTTCGAGGTTAGCAATTTATATTTGCAGACTTCATAACTAACTTCAACATTTATTATACTCACTGTTTAATTTATGCAAAAAATACAAAGTTGAATGCTAAAAAGGTCAGAGGAGTCCGGAGGTCTGAGAAAGGGCTGAGAGGGCGCTGATTAAAAAAAAGTTTGAGAAATTGAGCAAAATTTTGAGAAGCGTTGGACAGTAGTTTGAGCGGGAAGAAGGTCTACAAAAGTCACACAGAAGCATCCTTAAAAATTAATACTTGAGCTCCAGAATTCAAAACGGCAATCAATTGACAGCACTTTTGTTTTTCTGCTGTTAAACTTTGACCAGGGCTGCTTATTGCCGGCGTGATGCTGTGATTAAGAGAGGAAACATTTTGGTCAAACACGAACACGTCTGCATGGAAACTCTGTATCGATACTTAGCTGCACATGGGCGTATTTTATTTGCAATCACAAGAGATCGGTTAATTCATTCACATATGACTTTTGACTAAAATCTTGAACCCCGAGCGAAAAAGTGAGTCAGTGTTTTATGTATCTAACCACGGTTGTTGGCATTCTCATTGGTTAGGGAGCCAGTGTTTGGCAGGAGGCGTGCAGTTTTAACAACTGTTGCACTTATCTTTCTCACAGCATCAGAATTTTACAGCCTGTGTAAAACATTCACACACACGCACACACACTCGCAGCTGTAGAAGTAACCCAAAGAAAAAAAGTTCAGTAAATTAAAAACAGGAATGTTAGGAAGTCTGTAATTCAATAAAATACACATGTAAAGGAAATGCTGCAAAGTACCTCCTTATCTAAAAGTATTATCCTTCTTTTGTGTCACCGCTGATAAGCGCCACTCCACAGAAAATGACACAGCTGGAAACACAGTGAAAGAGTTTCAGTCTCCACACAATCATGGGTTTTTTGCAGGCCCTGATAAGGTGCATGGATATCCTGTGGTCTTTTCCTAGTTAATGTGTACGGACCGCACACCGGCTCCGCTTTCACTGAGTTATTACGCAGAGTGTAATTTGAAACAATTACAAAAACACTGGCCCACTTGTTACAACACTCATTTTCCCTCACATATACAAACCACAGATTCAATAGCTTTACATGTTTTTCAATCACACCCAGTGGAGCAGTGTTCAGTGTGAAAAAGTGTAGCATTTCATCCTAGCTCGCATGGTATGGGATAATCTTTCACATTTTGCCTGGGGTTTGTTTTGCTATTTCAGCAGAAACTTGTGCAAGCCATGTGAATTACCATAGGAGAGGACGATAAAAATACCAAATGATATTGTATCAGATGTAAATGAATAAACTTTTGGAATAATCAGGGCAAATAATTTGTTATCTCTGATAATAAATGTTGTTTATTGTCCTTTATTTTCCGAGATGCATTGCTGAGATAACGGTTTTAAACACACAAGCAGGAAGGGGATAGTGTAACACTTTTGTGCTGCACACTTAAGCTATTAAAGGAGCATCAACAAACTATGAATTATGAGGCAAGTTTTGAGTTGTGGTGATAAGTTGACAACAGATTCTCCTCACTTTCCAGGCGCCCGGTTCAAAATGTCTTATTTTTGACGCTTTTTCACCATCTTTTCACACATTTCTGTCTCTCAGGCCTCACCATTGTTCAGAGATCGGGGTCAGCCCAGTGATGATCTTTTGCAGCCTCGGTGATGGACACCTTTAGCAGTGTGAGTACAGTTTCTCTTCTGGCCTCTCGTAGCAGCGTAGCCCAGCACAAGGAGGTCAGGCCTTGTACCTCTGTCTCTCATTCTCTGAAGGTGCTGCTGCAGTCTGACCATTGACATTTAGCATTCCTCCACGCTGCCTCTGGGTTCTCAATGGGGGATTCAGGGGTGCAGAGGCCAGTGCCTGGTTCTCAAGGGTAAAAACAAAAAGGCTCTTGAAAATCCCAAGGAGTTCCCATGATCCTAGAAAAGACCTTGATCCGACCTGTGTTAGATTTCCATTCCACGGATTAGGCTGCACAAAAAGTACATATTTGACTGATTTATTTTGTCTTTCACTCTGGATTTCAGACAATGAATTGCAATGTTTTCCACATGCGGCACAGAAATTTTTCCTCCATGGTGATTTTGCAACTGTAAGATTTTGTAAAAGTTTAGCTATTCAAACCAGGAGGACTTTTTTTCTTCTTGTTTAATCATTTTCTTTTCATGTTCTTCACTGACATTTTCGAGTACGAGCAAAAGGGTGTACCATTTTTTATGGTGGAAAGTTTTCAAAGTCATTTTTCAAGGGTTTTTTTTTTTTTTTTTCCAGCAACATACATAATCTGTTAGCATCAAAGGAGCACACATGCATAAATAATTGACTAATTCACTTAAAGGGGGCCAGCGTAGATTAATTAAGCTTGAATACTAATTATGTTTTCTGTCTACACCAACTGATGCTGTTGTTGTTTAATAAGAAAAAGTGTTTGGTGGGTCACAATTACCACGCACATATTGAGCTTCACGTTTTAGGCGTGAGATGGCTTTTTAAGCCTTTGAAACAAAATGCTAACCTTATCTGCGAGGATCTGAACAAAGATGCTTTGTAGATGTTTTCATTTTATGCTATACTGATGGATAAAATCAGGCTTTATAAATGTTAAAATAAATCAGATGTTTTTGTATTATATTCATATTCATATTAGTACAAGATGTAAAGCTCTTTCATTCACATTTGGAAGATGTTAAGGGTTTTTAGGTTCAAATTAGGACTCCTGGAGAGAGGTTTTTGTGTAAATATCTTGTCATTTCAAGAAACACTTTTGTCCTTGACTCTCATGCCTAGCACACAGGGCGGTTGTCTGGAAATGGTAGCTTTAAGTGTCTCTGTGAAGCCCAGCTTTTGCTGTCTCCGCTCCCCTGGCAAGCAGTGTGCACACAGGGACAGAGGCAGACAGCTCAGAGCCGGGCCCTTGTTTACAGCTGCGTGGGGAAGAAAACAGGCAGACGTAAATGAGGGTTGACGGTTTCATGAAGCACAATTGGTTGATGGCAGATTCAATGTGACTGGGCTGAACTGGGCGATGATCCGTACAGTATGCAAAATTCACTTTCTAGCTGGTCTGTGCCCACCAGCCTCTAGCAGTGAGCGGTCTTCCCCAAGCCCTTCTAGCTATGCCTTTGAATGCAACAAGAACTGAACAAGGCATTGTTGTGCTCAATTCCTTTTGACAACAATCACAGTTAAAAAGGAGAGAATAAAAAACAATGGATGCTTTTTTGTCACTAGGTATAGATGATTTTTTTCTCACGTTGACTGCAAAGTAAGCTGTTTGTGTGCTGCTCGATAAAAATTAGAGAAGGGGCGGATTGAGAGCATGTTAGATGCTTTTAGACGACAAGAGAATGAACTCAGGGGGATCGCTTTGAGCTGCTGTATTTGCATGTTGTAATGCACCCAAATTTCTTGGCATAATTTTCAGCTGCAGCACCATGAATCTAAAATATGTAGGTGCGATGTGACAAGCAAATTAGCTCTCAGCTCGTACCAGGCTAACCTTTTAGAAATCCAGTTTGTATCATGGACCTCTGTGATGTTTCCCTCCCCCTCAGGATTGAGTTGTTGTTGATCCTTTTAGAAACTCAACATCTGCATGTTCCATCCAGTTATTGCACATTAAACTACTTTCTTTGTATCACAAGGAGCATGCTGTCAATGTCAGTGGACTCGAGAGAGGGAGATGAGGACCAGGCATGTTTCTTAGCTTTCCAGACAGAGACACTCACAGCCTGTGTGGACTAGATTTTCACTGACAGTGACCCAAAGCTGTAGGCCTGGAGTGGAGTCATTCTGTGTGCTTTCTCTTGTGTGTTTACAATGCTTTCTCTTTTTTTTGTGTGTTTGTGATTAAACCAAAGGCAAGAATACATTCATACTCAAAAACAAAAAACTAATTAACACTTTCAGGACATTGTATTGTGAGGAAGAAAGTTAAATAGAAATGTGACCGGAGAAGGAAATGATTCCTAATGGGAGCTGATATGAAAAGCAGATGCAACAGAGCGTAAAGGCTGCTGTTTAAACTTTGAGAGTTAGCTAAACAAGCTAATACCGTCTCATCAGGATTAAGGGTGATAAGCAAATACATTTATAAAGCCAAAAATTAAACTTGGAGTGATTTCACCTCAGATTTTTGCTTGCATCTCCACCTTTACGCCTCAAGGCAAAAACTATTTGTAAAATAAAGAGTGTTAACCTCCTTTATCATTATACGATTAGCTTCAATTACTTTAGCAAACATTTACTGCAGAGCTCTTTGACAAATGACTCAGGTGTTTAAACTTTTAGAATCGTTGTAATGATAAAAAATATTGTGTACCATACAATTTGATGCAAATCTGATTAATCGGATGCATTTATCTCAGAGGATTCTTGTGTTTGCATTTGCATCCAAACAGCATCTGTGTCGCAGAGGAAAGCAAAAAAAGGTGCCTGATGAAATGAAAACAAGAAAATGCGAGAAACTTCAGGGAGGCAATCAGCACTGAAGCTATATTTGCCCTCTTCATTCTCCACAGCATGTGAAACTCAGAAAAACTGATTGGTACCCAGTCGAAAAGAAAATGGTTTTTAAATAAGTTACAATTAGATAAGCATTAATCTCAGTGGTATAAATGAATGTCTTGCTGTAGGGCTTGTTGAATGTAAAAACAGATTTACAAAACTCCTCTTACCAGATTGGTCTGGAAGTAGTCCTTCTCCATTTTAATTGCTCTGTCATTTAGAATTGAAATAAGCCCCACACTCATCTGCCCCTTGATTTTGCCTTTGAAATTAAATATTGTATACAAATACATGCTGTTCATGGGCATGAGCACAGTTCATCACTGAAATCTGCATAAAATGATGCTTAAAAAGCTCCATACGCTCTGAGCAATGCAGCTCTTTTATGGTGCATTCTTATGTAAACATATCCATAACCAAAACAACTACTTCTGCCTTTTACCTCAACTTTCTTATTGTTCTGTTTGTCCGCAGAAATGAGAGAAATGTGGGACTGCAGAGACTTTGTTCCACACACTCTTGATTTCAAAGGAGCCCAAACTCAGTGTAATACATTCCTCATTTTCCTTTCCATGCTATACTATGCTAATGTAGACCACCTACAAGACAAGACGAGACAAAATAGTGTTATAGGTTACAGTTACAGGCTGATATTGTACAACCACATTTTTAAAAATAACCTGTGCGGCAGCAATTGTGGTTAAAATTACTTCATTTTGAAAATCCTCCAAGCTTTACAAATTACGAGGACCTGGCATGATGTTATTTGGAGACAATTATTCTTCCTCCTTTTGAGATTTTCTAGGTTGAGTTCATGTGAATGGAAGTAATGGGAAGTGTGCCTGCATTTCCATACTTATTTGCACACACCGTGCCTGTGTGCTCCCGTGCAGCCTGTGTAAAAAAACGCATAATTTTCCAGGAGAGAGTATTGTTGCCCATTCATTTTAGAAACAAGGAGGAAGTATTTTAATGTGACCTTCATTACACATTCATGTCAACTTTTCTTATCTATTTATGATTAAATTCTTTTCCACTCCTGTTGTTCAATTAGTGCTTGACCCCTTTAGCGGCGATGTAAATTAAATGACATTTTAGTGTCGTCCCATATTTAAAATACTGCGTTAGTTGCGGATCATAAATGATGATCTTCATTCTGCAGCTAATTTATTCATTTAACAATTTCCCTCCAGAAGTTACAGCAGAAGGCTCTGCAGCAACCTAAGCAGAAGAAATCCAAGTCGGCTGAATTTCTGATGGGTGAGTCCTGCTTGATGAGTTATTGCTCATAATTTGTGTAAGGATTAATTAACTAATTACAGACAAATGGCTTTGGGCTAAATTTTGCTCTTGCTTGTCAGGGCGCAATTTGTAATTATTTTAATCATTTCTTCTTCTTCTCTTTTTTTCCTCCTCCTTTGCAAGATTCTGATTTAATTTTAACCTAATTGTGTTTTAGTGTCATTCGAGGAGGATGCGCCTGAGCATGTTGGCGCGGAAAAATCACCAACAGAAATATTGTCGTCATTAGATACGCTCGGTTTTTTGACGATTCACTTTGACCTAACTGTTGTCTCACCCCTTCATGCCAGTGTTTGTGTTTTTATTTATGTTTCTGCTTATTTTGTCAGGAGGAGAGGAGAGAGCGGCGGTGGTGGGCATAGAAAACCCAGGATTCAATGGAGGAGGAAGCACCGAGCTCTCCGTCTCTCCGCTCTGGCTGGGGAGAGAAATTCGAGGTGACAGGCCAGATAGCACCCTTGCAGCTCACCAAAAAAAAATGGAGCTGCAAGCCCCTGCCAAAGAAAGAGGTGAAGCTTCATTTTTCATTAGCCTCAAATTTGTTGACAGTAGATGTGTTCCTGATCTAACCTTTCTCTCACTCCTTCTTCCTTTCTCTCTCTCTCTCTTTCTCCGTTGGTGGGGCCCCTGGTCCCTGCATTCCAAAGCAAGCGTGTCCTAACAAGCAACCCTCGTATAACTTCTTCCTCCGCTGGAGAACACGCAGTTGTGGGTGTTCTATCTCTATCTAGAAGTACCCTCGACACAATCAGCCTTGACTCCCACTCTCGGCTACATGCCTTGTGGTGGGCTGGAGTCATAGGAGAGTGCATTTACATACGCTACTACGCTACCAAGCAGATCCGCTGTCTGTGTGGTGTACTCACTACGCCCCCGAAACACGGCTTAAGGCCAATCAGGCATACGAATATGCCCCCTTATAATTCAGTATGTCAGGGAGAACTCTTGAGGAATGGGATGGTAAATTAGGATGCGTTCAAGGTTGCGAGCGTGCCAGTTTTCTCAGGGATGAGTCACATGTTAGATTCTTGATTTAATGTGGTCTATTTTGCTATTGCTGTGCTGGCGTGTAATTATGATCAATTATTATCATGAATTTTTCAAGCACAGGAGGTGGACTTAAGCATTGTGTGAGGATCTGGCCAGCGCACGAACAACATATGCATTCATTAGAGTTGGACTATAAAGAAACATGACGAAGAGGACGAAGAGTTTCTCTGTAATTAAAAATAACGGCAACGCTTAAAAATGACCTTAGCAGTCATTGGTTGCAGAAATCATCTATTTTAACCAGAATAGCATACTTGGTGGAAACAATGAAAACATTGGCATTAAAAATTGGCATATCAGGCATTAAAAAAAACCATCTAATTTCCTGTACCGTCATAGTCATTTATGGACAAAATCTTATGCTGACTTAATCGTTGATTTCCCCATTTTTTACACTTTGAATTTCTGAATCAAAACATTGACGAGAAAGGCAGTAAAGGGCAGTTTTTTATTTTTTTGGCCTGAATGGAAATGGAAAAAGGAAGTGGCCTGTTTCACCACCTACTGAATGACTCAGCCAACACATCACGGATCACTTAAAACGTCCCCCTACTGTCCTGCACCAATGACACTTTTCCAACATATACCACCACGCCGATAAGAAGTGATGAGTAAAGTTGCTAATTTTTGCACTTTTATTTTCTCTATTAATTGAAAATGCTAATTAGGCTTCTTGCCAAACCCTTAAAGCATACCAAATGAACTTAAACATCTGCTAATTTACTTTATTAAAATGTGTTGCATTTTACACCAACTCAAGTCACTGTACCAATAGGCTTTGCCGTTGATATTGAGCCATCTAGTCCTTTCATACTCAAGTGTTAAAAGATGATAGTGTAAGAGATTTTCTTTGAGTTGATAAAAGCTGATGATTCAGAAAGCAGAACATAAAAAGACAGTTTTGCTCCACAGGGAGTCTAAATAAACATAACAGGCCTTATGAGTTGTGTTTTATTGGAGGATAACCAAAGCAGGTTTCTCCATGTTTGTGACTCCTTTGCTGTTTTCCTTATGCCTCCACTAATTTGTGTTTGAAAAAAGGGTTTCATAATACCAGAGAAATAGTTCGAACCCTCTGCTAAAGATGTGGACATGTGAATTTCACAGTCAATTTATGGAAACTTTAAGGAATCATCCTGCTGCTTCGTGTTCAATAAAAGTTTCAGTCGGACTCTCTGACTGAATGTGAAAACCTCAGATTTCTCCTTTGAGCTTTTTTGGGTTGTGGTGCTCAAAGGCAAACATACTGACTCACATTTTTCTGCATCCAAACCTCACACTTCTATAAAGGCGATCCTTGTGTGGGGGTATCAGACGTGATTTCTTGTCCTGTGCATTTTTTCAGCCTCCCAACCTGAGAAATACAAGTGAAGCAATTTAGATTGGAGTGAAATATCTAAGGCCTGTAATGAGAATGATTTGGGGTTAAGAAAACGGCATGGCGGGGTGTACCCTTAATAGAAAGACCCTGAAGCTATTGGATTCCCATAAACTCTGTGGAGCAGACTTGATACCCATAGGTCAGTGATTGCTAATAAGAAGTCAATGAGACATGGGCTCAGGTTATTTTCCTTTGGATCTGCTCCTCCAAACTTGCCCGGTCCTCTAGGCTGCTGACCTCAGAGTATTTAGAAGGTATTGTCTTTGAAATTCCAGGTACTTTTGAGCTTGTAGACTTTCTCATTAGTTCTTTTTGAACACAGCAAACATATGGCAGTCGTATTTAAGAGATTGCCTGCCGTGACCTTTCACGGCATGCTAATTAGGCCCCAGAGCACCGCAGGCCGTGGAGAGGCACGCTGAGAAAGCCAGCAGTCTCTTTCCCACTTCTCTCTTTCTGCCTCTGTACTCCTGTCTCATCTTGGCTCTGCCTTATCTGGTAGCAGCCGCTGCCCCTGCCCTTCCACAGTGTGGGTTTCAAAATTAACATTTCGCTTCATGTGCTTCTAATAACCACTAACCTGAACCTGTACAACTCCCCTCTTCCCTTCCACAACACCCCCTCGCCAACTCCCAGCGCCTCTTTTCCTCATTCTCTCGCCTCCCGCACTTTCCACAGGAAATAATCGCACCCAAAATTACTTTGACCCGTCGTCAGCAGAGCAGACAGACCCAAGGCATGGCAGGATGGCTGGGGTCAGCGCCGAAGATGAGCTGGAATTAAGTATGCCATTCTCTGTCATAATAGTTCTCCTCGGTTCATTAAAGTGAGGTCACTGGTGGTAGGCTGCCATTTGTGATGGCAGGACGGTCTATGTAAATACACCAAATGATGGCATCACTAGATTGGCTATCCAGCTCGCTGTCATTGATGAAGGTCATGTATCATTGGTCAGTTTTCATTCCACTGTGGCTTTTTCTTCCCTCTGTCGAATGACACACGCAGAGCCATATCAATAGTTTGCAGCCCCCTCCCAAAGTAGTCCTATTAAAAGCGAGCTCTTGGGAGCCAAGTAATATGCATGTTATAATGAAACACGGTTATTAATGGAGAAGCCATTTCACCTGTATCTTTTGGATATCACTGCCGTGTAATATCAAAGGATTCGCAAAACCAAATCTCATCACATGATGACAGGCAGGCTAACAGGCATGTTAATGCTCCTTTTTCATTACCCCTCTGCATACACTTGATTCTCAGGCCTCTGCAGCCACAGCTGATGTCTCTGCTGTGCATGTTAAAATGTGGTTTAGATTGACTCGACTGATAAGTGGGAGGTAATTTTGAAGCAGACAGAATGCACGTCGTTCTCCGACTCTGTTCAAGGTGTACTGATTTCATGATTTTTGTGACTTTCAGCGATAGTGAATGCCGATGAACACCGACTTTATCAAAGAATGGCTGCACTGCTGGATGAGGAGGATACCTTCATAGATATACCAGGTGTGTATTTCCCTTGATACTTGATTTGGGCATACCTGTTATCAAAGGAAAGCAGTGTTTACTGTGGTACCTCTGTCTCCAGATACTGTGGCTTTAAGAAGAGCTTTGTGAGACACCCAGACAAGCATAAGACATTACACTAAGAGCAGCACTCACACAAAGAATAAAACCAGAAACAGTCCTTCACTAGTAGTCGGTGCTTTCCAAGCACAGCCATTGTCTCACAGTAGGCGTGCCTTTTCTCATTAGCTCACTTTCATCCAGCCAACCGGGCAACACTGAGGTGGTTTAAGCTTAGCATTGTTCTGGCAGGAGACAGTTGCACCAGATCCTGTTGACATGACGCACGTCTCCCTTGTAATTCCAGCGCACAAGTGATGGGTTTAGGCCCGCTTCAACATGGTAGAATTTTCCCGTCTCGTATTATTTGCCATTGTCTCGGATTTAGCTGTACCGCCGAGATTAGCAGCCCCATCCATTGTCTTGGAATGTTCATGAAATCCCACAGAAAAAGTAAAGAGGATCTTGGATTAACAGTTTCTCCATGCAATAGGCTGAGACACAGTGAGTGAGAGAGAGAGCTCCTACTTGTGTACTGTTGGAGTCCAACTGCGTCGACTGCCAGTGAGGACTTCACAGCGCTACAATAGACTTCAAGACAATCACCTTATGCTGTTGTGTGGATGCCTCCCACCGGTGTAGGCCGCACGTCCTCTTTGCTGCTGCAAAACCGGCTCAGTGTATGTCACAGCTGATCCTGACATTTTGTGACTGCTTCTCAGGCTTTTGTCTGGGCTTTTACAGCCCTCCACAAAGCAGCATACACACTTCACAAGACAGAAAATAAGACAAAGTATTAATGAAATGGACAGTCGCCAGTGCTGTAGACTCCTGTTCATAAAACATTCCTGGAGAAATCCCTTCTTCTTCTCCGTCTAAGACCTTCCCTTCCTTTTTATCTCGATGAATTCTATTGCTTTGGCTCGCAGATGAAAGAACATAAAAACTGGCTTTCTGTTCATTTTACTTCTCAGCGAGGAGCGAGGCATTGATATCAGCTTCTATGTGAAAAGCATTAGGAAGTGATAACAGCTTTGGCTGTTACACATGTTGGACTGCACACGATGAAAACACAGATGCTCAAAGAATATGTGAGAATGACACTTTGAGCGGTCATGACCATATAAGGACGCAGAGGCAGGCGATGAGTCAAACCCCCACAGTGGGCATTTATTTACACTGAACAACAACTACCAGTAAAACACACCAGATACACAGCTTCATGCACAGGACAGTTTCAGAAAATGACAAGAGTGAAACTTTAGTGTCATGATGTGTTCGGCCGCCAGCGAAAAAAAATTGGCCTTTCTTAATATTGATTTATATCTTAAGACTGATGTCCTCACCTCCATGCTAGCTGCTCTCCTCAATGTTAGTCTTAACTAAGCAGAAATTAGAAATGAAAATTATGAAAATTGTAACAATAAGTTTGACAAAATACATGTATTTGTCAATATTGCATTATGTCGAGTGGGTTTTAAATGTCAGCGCTGTTGTGTGTGAAAGATAGTTAGAGACGCCAAGACCCGCCTTATGTTGCTTCTGATTGGTTTATGGTGCTTGGTGCTTTCCGTGGTTGGTTGCAAAAAGGACTGATGGATTGTTCTGGGATTGGTTAGTCAATCAGAGTTACTCGAACTGCGGCACGCCATATTGGATGGGCCCACACTCCAAATGGGGTCAATAGAGAACAAGCAACTATGCCCGTATTTTTGCACTTTATCGTTGAAAACCCAACACAGTATTGAAACCAGATCATGTAGGACTACATTTCACAAATAAGATTGAAAAATAATTTTGGTCATTTTTAATGTGTGACATTGTCCTGTATTATGGCTACATCCCTGCCATTGTAACAAACCAAAAAGTGTGAAAATCGGGCTGAGATTCGGAGAGTTATTATTAAAATGGTTGGGCATTCCTACGTACCTTAATGCACTGGGGGACCCATCCAAGACGGCGGCCGCACTGATACAAGAGCTCCAATAGGCAGCATCAGGCTTTGAGGCGTCTACATATATTACTTCTTCTTCTTCTATGGTGTTTATTGGCGGTTGGCAAACCAACGAGAAGGTGCATTGTCTACATATATTATGTCTATGGCTCTGCCTATGTACCCTTTCCAATCAGATGCCACCATATGCAGGGGTGCTAAAAACATGAAACTTTGTTTTTACTTAATATGAGTATTATTTTAATGTAAACCCCCAAACCTTTAAACATAAACAATCCCAGACTACACATTCATATGTGACTACTATTTTATGTAATCACATCCTAACAGTTATTTTTTCAAAAGAATATAGTACGTGGCCCTGTTTACCCCTCATACCAATCTGCTAGTTGGAACCCTCCCGGCACTTTAAAAACGCTGTTTGTTTCCCTGGGGACTCTTTTACCAGCGCACCCTGAGAGTGAAGACAGAAAGGTACAGGTAAGTGTTTGGCATTTTCACATCAGGTTAACCTTTGTATCGCACCTTCCCTATTTTAATCAGCATACAAATCTGTTTGGACTTTTCCAACTCATACTGTTTCTCATAGGTGCTGCGGCTAAATCAACCCGCGGCCATTACATGAACAGCGATCGTCTGTGAGCAACACATCATGAACAAAATCTGTATTATTAACCAAATCTGAATAAAAGTATTTTTACCGAAATACCTCTCAGACTCATCTGTTAACGTGTCGTGTTTGTTTATTAAATCTATGATATGTCGCTCTATGCCATGTGACCATTTGTTACGTTAGCTGCCTCAATCCTTAGCCAGGCCTACCTGGTAGTCTGTAACGGAGACGGGTGTTCTGCCGTAGAATGCACCCCTGCCGTAGAATTCACCCCCTGACGGGAGCGCGGTTGAAAGCAGTGTTGTTTTTGGCAGGCATTTTAGGTTTAGTTTTAGTCTTAGTCATTTTGATGAAATGCTTCTTCGTTTTAGTCCCATTTTAGTCATTTCTATCCTTGATAGTTTTCGTCTAGTTTTAGTCCGACGAAAAGGTGCCTTTTGACGTTCGTGGTGTTCTTTCCCGACAGTTTGAAGCCGCAGCATGAGGAAGCTGTGGCTCCACAACTGTCGTCTGTCTCGTCTCCCCGTCCCCGTACAAGACATTGTGTTTTATTGTCACTTGAACTGTATCTGAAGTAGGACCAAAAATCATCCCTCTTTTTTCGGCCACCGGGCACCGCTGCTGTGCCTGCCGCCACGGTGTGTGTGTGTGCGCGCCTCGTCCACCTGCCGCTCTGTGTATGTGTATGAGTGTGTGCGCGCAGCTGTGCGCGAGCGAGGCTTTTGGTGCGTGTGTGATGGGGGCGTGACAGTTAGGACAAAAAAAAGCATGTCTTGAAACTGTGTTCGTCCACCTAATAACAATTTAGTCTCGTCTCGTTGTCGTCTGACGAAAATGAATATAATTTTCGTCACATTTTAGTCTTTACAGAGCTTTGGTGACGTTCGTCTTGGTCTCATTTTCGTCAAGGAAAAAAGGGGTCTGACGTCGTCATTTAAGTTTTCGTCCTGCCTGACGAAAACAACACTGGTTGAAAGTTCATAACAAGGCTAAATCATCCAAGTTTTCCTTACCGTTAGATGGATTCAAAAGCGTGTGTCTTCAATTATTTAATTCAGGCTATTCAGATAAACCGAGAAAATAGCCCTTTAAATTCGGAACATTTGCTGTCCTGAATATATAATTTCCTCCACCTTAACAGCTTAGTGTACAGCTTATATACCAAAGTACACCTCTATATGTGCATTTGTGAGACACAGAGCGAAAGTTTGCTGCTCCATTTGACATGCTGTCATGATCCAGTACTCGTGTTCTCTTTAAATATTAGATAATCTTAGATTTTAAGAAGCTAACGGGTGAATGGGATGAAGGGGGTGCATTCTACGGCACAACACCTGAGAGACCTCCATTACAGACTACCACACGCTTTCTACTAAAGAGGCGTAGAAGAAAGACGGAAAAGAAATAAATTCTGTACGACTTACTAGAAACTAGTTCATGCCTGATGCTGGAAAAAAAAACTTTTTTCAATGTATGGACTTAATATTAAGAGGTTTCCTTCTTTTTTTAGGAGTATGAGTTTAAAAGAAATGATGCTTTCACTTAATTTACTTTCATGTTCAAAGCCTTAAAGCCTGATCCTCTTAAAACACTTCGATGGCAGACATAAAATCGTTTTATTTCCTGCATAGAGACAAATGACAAATCTGTTCCCAACATTCTGCACATTATTCTCTGTCTGCTCTGGTTTAAGAATTTTTTTATTGTAAATTCCAGCTGTGTTTTGCTCCTTTTTAAATTATTTAAGGAAGTGTCTGGAGAGAAATAATGAGCAAATCAAAACAAGCAGATGCAGATAATATAAAGATATTTAAAGCAAAAACAGTAGCTGTGAAAAACAATCTAGTTTTAGAAATAAGGGTGTTATTTTTCACCTACAGAGTTTAAAATGTATATAGATGGGAATATGTTGGATAAAGTATTTGCATTCATCAGAGTGTGTGTCTGTGTGCGTGCGTGTGTGTGTCTTTGAGTATGCATGTGTGTGTTTCTGTGCATGTCCACTGATGCGTGTCTCTCCAGGTACGCTGCTAGCCTCCAGGGATGAGGAGGTGTTGGAGGTGAAGGCAGGTGATCCGGTGCTTCAGCGGCGACTGCTGCTCCACGGCGGTGGTGATGCCTCGGGCTCCAGACCCTCCCAGGCCCACACCATTGCCAAAACCCAGGCTGGGACTGGAGCTGGGCTGGGGAGAGAGGCTGGACTCGAAGCAGGGGGGGCGGTAATGGGTGGAGAGAGCACTGTAAAAGGTAATGCCACGCTTGAGATTGTGTTTTTATATTTTTTATTTCCTTTTTGAGGCATCTTTATGAGGTGTAATGTCTTTTGTTTGTGTAGGAGTAAAAAAGCTGGGTTAGTTAAAAACTAGCTCATGAACTGGTTTGTTTTTTAATTCACAGCATCATAACTGTTGATGAATCAGCGTCGACTTACTCTGCATGTTTTCACAAGGAGAAAATAAAAGCTGGCAGGGAACCATGCCCAAAAGTCATCTGCTCTTCAGCTGTATTATTTTCTCTGGACAGTATTGTAGCTCCATGGATTCTTTTGGTTAGAAAAATGTAATGCATAACGCCACAATAACACTCGTTTTTGGATTAATATATGATTTGCGGTTGCACTGTGTTATTTCTTGCAGCGAGGACAGCCAAGGAGGCGATCCCCCACTACGCCCAGCAGCTGAGGGAGCGCGTGCGGCCTGACATGATCACGCTTGGCAGCCTTTCACTGCAGCAGGTCAGGGCTACAAAGAGGAATATCTGTGTCATCATCCCATATTCACCAGCACATCAGCCATGTCCATTATGCTGCGGCTCGGGCTAATGGACATAGAGTGTGTTCATGTGTGCGTGTACATTTGTCTGTTTTGTCTGCTCTCATCCCAGTTTGTGAAGGAACCTGCGTGTACTTTGTTAAATTTCTGACTTTTTTTAAGCTCCATATTTGATTTTTTTTTTCCTTCTAACTTTTTTGTGCTCAGCCCTGTCCCTGCATTACCTTTCCAAGAGTACTGCTTTACTTTTTATGCAGCTTTTTTTGAATCCCAGCTGAATGCAGTCATGTGAAATTGCTCTTTGTGGAACATGCATTCAAGGTTAGATAACTCATCCATCCTTGGCTCAGAATGAGAACATGAATTTTAACTACATAATCTATGCTTCATATGATATCCTCACACAAAAATGTATTTGTAGAGACAGTTTTGATGTGTCTTTGAACTTTGTTGGGCATTATTATGCATATTTCTTCCTGACAGAAGCAGCATTTTCTTGGTTCTTTACCAGTCTTAAGGTCTTTTCAGGAAAAAATAGAGCGTGACCACCTTTATTTTCCAACTGGGGTGTGGGGAGATTGTGAACTAGCGTTAAGATCTAAAGCTTCTTTCAAAACAAGTGTTTTTTATCCCGTAAATCAGAAAAGCGATGAGAGAATGCAAGAACATGGGGTTTCCATTGTGCAGGGAAATCTAGACTCCAAAGAAAACCCCAACATATGTAAACAGAATGCAGAACTTCTATCCACTGTATTTTTAGCCCTAATCTCACTTCAAAAGAGAATAGCAGTCTCATTATGTGAATTGAAAGTCTACGTAATTGGGGGAGAAATGGATCAACAATGTCTCAACATCACTTGGAAGCGACAGCAACAGTTGACTCATCCTGCCTTACTCTATAATCAGTGGCATCTAATGTGTACTGTATCAGTATTGGGATCAGTGTTATCTCATTCTGCCATAATATGTATGAGCTCTCCTACTGTTTCCACACCCACCTCCCATTGAAAGCACATTATCCACCAGAGATTTCACATCTATTTTAAAAATAATAGCGTTTTTCTTCTGTCTCTATTCTGCCGTACAAAGCCTCTACAGGGCGAGACGCTGTCACTTAGCAGTGTCAATGCGTCTGAATGGGGAGTGTGAATGTGCTGACTGAATGTAAAAGCGGCAGAAATACTCATCAAACGCTACATGTCTTTAGGGCCTGGCTCAGTATCGATTGCCTGCAGATTGCATTACAGTTGCTCCTTGTGCTTAATTCTGCCATTATGGTGCACTGCACTGTTTCATAAAGCTGCATCCAAAGAAAGTGTGCACGTGTGTTTGCACGTATTTTTAAGCAAGCGGCTCAGAGGGGACCGGTGAAGGGGAGTGAGTGGGCAAAGAGGAGGAAGAGACTGATGGACTTCTTGACCGGGAATGTGAAGGTAAAGATCTCTGTGCTGTTTAAAGAGGATGTGTTGTGGTAAAATACCTTCAAGTTTCATCCAGTCATGATCTTTCCTATTAGATTTGTACTCTTAAGCTGCTAGATTTTCTACTCTTAGGCGATTATCTATTAAAAATGTTAAATTACAGTTAGCACGGGACAGGATACAATGTTTCTGTGTAAATTAAAGCGCTGATTAGCTGATTAAGGTAATGATGATTACCATATTAACAGTGTTTATCATTTCCACTTTGATATCTCACAGGAGCCTGATTCAGAGAGAGAGTGTGACGTGGCAGCCCCACAGCCCCGCTTGAACACGCTGCTGCAGTAAGTCCAGCCCATTTCATATTTCTCTCCATATGTAAAATTGATGTCACACCACTGTAATCATTAATTGTGTAAAAAAGCATTTGTATTCCCACTGACACCCGGGAAGGCATGTAATTCATATGTCCTCTGCTTGGCTTCTCCTGTCGACGGGCATTGCATTGTGGGTAGTATGGCTGCAGGGCATAGAAATCTGTCCATGTCATTGGGCTCGGAGGCGCATCAATTCTTGGTCCATCCACTTTAGTCAGAGATCACACATCAAATCTGGTAGCGAGAGCCCCTGCGGGCAGTCAGCTTAGCATGTTTAAGTTTTTAGTAATTATGGACTACCATGCCGGCTGACATGATAAAATCAAGAAGCTACTTTACACATCAGCATCTTCTGTTGTGTTTGGTGGTTTTATGGGTGGGTGGTTGTCGGACACCAGCTCTGTCAGATGAATGTGGATCGGAGTTTAGCGAGATGACCTCCTCTCGACAGCCTTGAACTCTGTAAATTCCTTCTGATATCAATGGTGGGTGGCTATTAGACATGGGAGACTTTCTATGCATCACCTAGGGCTACATCTGCCTGAAATTTAATGAGAAATGATTTCACTTTTTCTCTCCCTGCGCCTATAAAAGGAAAAAAAAAATAAGGAGGAGAGACGCAGAGCTGACTTGTGGTTTTTGTAACAAATGTGTAATTCATTTGTTTCCACTGTTTCTGATTTAATGGAGGTCGAGTAATTGCATTAGGAAGCACATTGTGCCTTGTTGTGAACTGATGAAAGCACATGTAATACTTTTGATAGGCGAACAGAGAGGAGGGAGAGAGGCAGAGAATGGGAAGAAAGACCCACTGCCTGCCTTTGATGCCGAGCATTTATTTGCCGAATTATCCTCCCTTTTACAAGCATCTTATCCCCAGTCACAGGCAGGCCAGGGCCCCTGTGATATTGCTTTATTTTGAGGAATTAAGAGAGGTGGCGAGGAGACAGAGCGAAGCAACCACTTATTACATTACCACTGATAAGATTGAAAGGCCAAGAAAGGCAGAGAGAGAGAGAAGGGGGTAAAAAAAAGAGAGAGGGACCCCAGTGGAAAGTGTTTTGTTGTGCTGTTATTAGATTGAGCCGCTGTTGGCTGAAGAACAACAAAGAGTCCAAAATGCAGGTGGCTGTAAACAGGGTTAACTTCCTGTGTTAATGTTTGTTGTATCCGTGTGTGTGTGTGTGTGTGTGTGTGTGTGTGTGTGTGTTTGTGCATGTAGCAGCCGCGCCATTGAGAGCCTGTCACTCAGGGCGCTGGGGGAAGGCCAAGAGGAAGCGATAGCCAAATACAGGCCGATGACAGAGCTCCAAGAATCCTCCTCTTCAGCATCACGGCCCCTGTGGCAGGTAGGATCTGTGATTGCGGATGAAAACATTCATTTTCAAGGAAACAAAAAAAAAGCACACAAACAGAAAGTGATTTGCCCCTTCTGTCTGTAAGAAAGCAGGAGTGAATATTGATCCAGAAGTGTTTACAGATCGTCAAAAAAAGCAGGGTTGTTTGTTGGAAAATAGAGGAATGATGTAATTATGTGCAATCCCGCGATGAATGGGACCTGATAGAAAATGGGAATATCATATCCCTTATTTTCTAGTTTTTGAAATTCCTCCACTCCTTTTATTACACCCATGGAGACCGTATGTGCACATGCCTATGCAAAAGCACACACATTCAAACACAGGCGCTATAGAGAAAGGCTCCCAGAATCCTGAGTATCCTGCCACATTATTTTTGTACAGTATATAAAGAGTCTTCCCCCTGCTTTGTGTGGATGCTGTCTGTGGCTTTAGGAATCTAAGTAGGAGGGAAAAAGGAGTCTTTGGAGATGAAAAAGGGGAACATAGAGAGAGGGAAGAAAAGAGAACCAAGTGGGAAAAGGAAAAGGAAAAGGAAGCTGCAGCTTTAGCGGTAGCATCACCAGCTGTGGGAGGAGTGTGCTGTTGTGTTGCATCTGGGGATGAGGCTGCCATGCCACCATGCTGGCTTAAAGATGTAATGAATCTTCAGTCGGGGGCTTTCCTTCCAGGGTGACAACTGGCTTTGAGGAAGGTTGTAAATGCAGGGGAGATTGTGGTATAATTCCTCAGACTGGCGTTTGTGCCCCCCAGTCACCATTCGATTATCTCCCAAATTGCTGTGTTTCACTGAGATAAAGATTTTTTATGGCTTGCTGACTTGAAACAACCGGCACAGGCAGAATAGGGGGCAAAAGAGGGAGAGGGAGAGAAGAGAAAGAGAGAGAGAGGGAGAGAGAGAGAAAGCAATGGCCAAACCTGCCACGCATAGTAATTTCCTTTGGTAAATGACAAAATCTTTGTTTATATGACATTTCCCTAAAATTACTGCAGCGAGATGAATCTGAAATATAAAATGTCACATTTGGCATGCAAAACTATGAAAATATATTTCTGTGCAAAATTCATGGAGGCATTTAATTTAGAATGTGTTTAATAACTAAGGCAGCCTGCATCAGTAATCCTGCCCGGAGGTCCCAAAAAGATTGTCATATTTATTCTCTGCTTTCTTCACCCCCCTCCTTCATACCGAAGCCAAAAAATTTTAAGGGTAAATGTTCATTGTTAATTAAGATTTACTAATTAAAATGAAAATAATTAACGAGAAAGCTTAATCTCTGAATATTAGCCCATACTTAGAAAGAATGGAAGTTTTTGTATGTGGCATTTCCTGTCTCTATTAAGAGTGCATTTTGTGTGATCAGTCAATACGTGGAAAGCCCTGAAAAGATATTTCAGCGAAAGGACGGCCGCTTGCCAGCAAAACGCGGAAGATCCCTCGCTGGAGCCTTTGATCTCATCTGTAGGAGTGCTGTAATGTTATGGCACTTTAGGCACAACTCAGGCTTGGGGCAAACAAACCACCTCTGATATGGAAAATTGGCTCACTTCACCTTTTACCTTCGCCTTGCTGTCTTGACTGTCTCTTATGACGCTTTTGCAAGCATGTGGGCCAGATAATAACAATGCCTCTTCAAACATACATCATGCAAATTGGACACCGGTGCGATGATATTGTTTTTTTTGTTTCTTTTGCTTCCTTTTCTTAATCGGCACTCCTCCTCCTCCTCCTCTCCTTTTCCAGTTTGCTTTCTTTTAACATCTCTCTTCCAATGTGGGGGTTTGGAGGCCTCGATCACCTCCTCCCGAATGTGAGATGTGTGGGCTAAACCGCTTTGCCACCAATTATACTAATTTCACTTCTGCCTAAATTGTTTTTGTTGTTCTGGTATGCAAAGATGCTCACAGTGGGGAGATTGAAGGGCATTACTGCAGGGCTCAGCACACAGTTTCTCCCCTCACAGTCTGGCAGAGCAGTGGGCACAGCCAGCCGCTAAGTTGAATGTTTATGTTATGTATGAATTTTAGAGGAAAAGGACAAGTCTCAGGTGGTTTAGTGACAACAGTATGCCTTTAAAAACTGCAAATGCAAAGTGTGGGTGAGTGTGTGTGTGTGTGAGCATGTATAGTCCCTGGGTGCTAATATGTCATTGATTGGACTTGAAAGCTTTAATTGCCAGACACTCAAAATTTGCCCAAGGGAGTTAGCCAACACAGTGTATATTCAAGTGCATGAAATAAATGGGCATTGAGAGAAACAACTAAAGTAACTAAAGACAAATAAAGGTAAAGCATTAGGAAGTATAAATGTGAAGGATTGTGCTCTACCGGATGTAAAGTGCAGAAACAACAAAACAATTGGATAGAGTGTATTGAGCATGATGGAAAGTGAGTAGGTGGGAGATTGGAAAGTAAAAAACAGGGTGGGATAAGATAACTTATGTGGTGCGGTTGGAAAGGATGGTAAAGCATCAGGTAAGAGAGTTAGATGAAGTAAGGTAAACTACAGGGTGATAAAAGAGATGGAGTAAGATGGAAAAGTACTGGATAGGATGGCAAGTGAAGGAGAAAAACAAGGTGTGGTCAGAGAAGAGGTGAGAAATTGGGATGTGAGGGATAGAAAGGATGTGATATGATAGGATAGAAAACAATAATATAGGATAGAATAGGAAAAGAAATGGGAGGATGAGATAGGATATAATAGGGTAGAAGATAGGATAGGGTAGGATAGAATAGGAAATTATATAACAGGATAAAGTAGGGCAAGATTGGATAAGATAGGGTAGGAAATAGGATAGAAGATAGGATAGGGAAAGAAATAAGGTAGGATAGAAGAAAGGATAGGAATTAGGGTAGGATAGAAGAAAGGATAGGAAATAGGGTAGGATAGAAGAAAGGATAGGAATTAGGGTAAGATAGAAGAAAGGGTTGGGTAGGATAGGATAGAAGATAGGTTAGGGAAGGAAACAGGGTAGGATAGAAGATAGGATAGGACAGAGAGGGACAGAATAGGATGTTGTTGGGCAGGATAGGATACAGTAGAGTAGGGTGGGATAAGATAGAATAGAATAGGAAGTGATGTAATTTTAGTAAATACTTATAGCACCCTGTCCAGTTCCCAATGAATGGATCTGCAACTCTTACCTCCAACCAACTTAAAGTGAAAAATAAAGCACCAGTCTATATTTGTCAAAAGTTGAAGAAAAGGGTGACTGAGACCAAATGACTGTTTAAGCCAGATTGACTTTCCATTAACCACTGTTCAACAGATGCCACAGAGGGACAAAAGACTGAAAATGTATTTATATTGTTCCATGATTATGTTTTATAGAAAAAAAAATCTTAAGTCTAGCCAGCTTACCCTGTTACTCATCCTAAGCCCCAAAAAGAGGCTAATGTCACCAAAACAAACAAGCGAATAAACAACAAGTGGGTTGATGTAGCCCGAAGGTTAGTGGGATGAGCTCACTACCAGGAGGTTGGCGTTTGAAAATCTCATTCTGAATGGGCAAGTTGGCCAGGGGAAATAAATATCACTCTCAACTTTGATAACAAGGAACGCTGATATGCCCTTGAGCAATGCACTTAACCCTTAAATGGTTGAATGGAGATCAGTAGATGGAAGCCTGCAGCTGTACCAGGCAACTTTCCCTTACGTTGACTATGCTTGACTTCAGTTGGACAACAAATCCCCCCCTGTTGAGCACCTGAAGTTTTCCCCACCCCACAACTGGGGGGATTAAATCATGAAATAAATATTTATATTGGGTTGTAATTATTTTTAGTGGTTGTCAGAGCGAACAAATGAGCCAAGTTCTATCTAACACAGACTGATTGACAGAAAATCTTTCTCACACTTTAGTCACGCTGTCTTATCTCCAGATACGCATTTCTTACTTCACTCCTATATTAAATTACATGCAACATGTGTCATGGTTATATATAGAGCAAAAAAAACCAAAAAAAAACACACCATTTTAATTTGCCATGCTGATTGTTACATCTAATAACCCTTAAGAAAAAAATGAGTAGAAAATTGTTTTTGGTGCCCTTAACTTGAAAGCAGAGTATGCTGCAGAGAGGCTTCTCGTTGCGACAATAGCTTTGTGAGAATAAAAAGGCGTTGTGAGGCGTTAAGTAATGAAATTGTATTTACAGAGCTCTTTTTTTAAACAGTAGTTACAAAGTGTTAAACAGCAGTAATGGGGTAGGGGGTGTAGATAAGATAACACAACTGCTGACAGGATTTACAACTAGGGGTTAATACGGCAGCTCCACACTGTCAACAAAAATGTTTGTTTTGGGGGAGGTTAAACTTATTACTTTCACAGGTTTCGTGATGGGGAAGTTGATCTTTTGGTGATAAATTGTAACACCTCTTAACTGACATATGTGTGTTTACTAAGCACAGTTGAAAAGCACAAAGAAATACTCATGCTAATTAGGGATGCACCGATCTGATATTTGGATCGGATATCTGTTCCAATATTGACAAATCAACTGGATCGGATATCTGAATTGGAACACTGGAACAGAGCCATTCATCAGTCTTTTTTTTCTTTTAATTAATATCATACACAGTGATTTTGTTCGCTCTATATCTATGTCTGTCTATCCTTTTGCACAAAATGTTTACATAGAAGTCTTACTTCTTTTTGCTGTGTGCTACTGTGCAGTTTGTTATTTGTTATTAAATAATAAGTAGATTTATATCTGTGTTAATTTGTTACCTTTTTTTTGTAACAAAGCTTATGTCAAGCCTGATACCTTCACTCACAGGGCAAGGTATATAGTTCATTCATTCAACAGTAGTATTGCATCGGTATTGGATATTGTCCGATTCGCTCAGCTGAGTTATCGGTGTAGGTTCCTCAACAATGAAACCATGAGATTGCAACGATACACTAGTCCAGCATGACTATATAAACATATAAGTGCGCATTATACAAAATTAAAGGAGAGTGAGTGAGCGAACGAACGAGCAAGGTCAAAAAACTGTGTGGCTCCACTCCATGATGCCAGATGTAACTGCACTCTCGGGTTAACTATGACAGATGTCAATACGCATCAAACACTCTATATATGGTTTTTTAAACCTGTTAATATCCATACATATTTTTTATTTAAATGAACTTATCAACATGAATTATCTAACTGTAAATAATGTAAATAACCAGAATTTTACCACAGTCAACACAAAGGTAATTCAATACATAAACTTAAATTATGCAAACATTGATGAACTCAAAATAGGACCCAGGCTCCTGCAATCTGTATCCGATTGGATTGGTGTATCTCTAATGCTAATGTGTTACAGGGTTAGATATTATAGTAGATATTAAAAATGGTGGAACATTTGGTTTTAAAGTCATTTGTTTTTTTCCTATTATTTAGGATTAACTCCAGTGAGTTCAGAAAATATGCTGTCAGTAATTTCAGCTTCCCAATACTAAAACCAAAGTTTGAATTCTGTGCATAAAAAGTTGTGAGGAATGTCAGAAAACTGATAAGTTTTTTTTTTTGTGTCTTTCAGCCTAACCAGAGCTCCACCCCTCAGCCTGTGGAAGTGTGCGTGCGCTGTCTGAGAGCCACCAGAGATAAACTACCGAGGGGCCTCTACTCTGTCAGTGTGGCTCTTCACAGCCGTCTAGGGGGTCCAGCTTTGGCTTGGTGCTCTAAGAAAGATCAGCAACAATGGGCAGTGACTACGGAGCCAACTGAGCACCGGGGCTTCTACTATGACACGGACCTGCATATTAACCAGAGTCTGTTCATGGTGAGAGTTTGGGATACCACCTCCTTTTTAAATCAGCTTTTTTAAAAACAAAGATGAGAGAATAGACACCGCACATTTGGTTTGTAATAAATATGTATTAGCACTCGTGTGTAAAGAAAAAAGCTAAAAACAAGAGTTACATAGACATCTATATTTATAAGTGCTGGTGACATGTTGCTCTCTCTTTTGACACTGATATATTTTTATTCAACAACAGAATCAGGTTGTGATTTGTGACTGCAATTTTATTTGATAACAACCCCTTTATTCATACGTTGCTTGGGGAAACTGCTTTATTTCTCTCCCTTGGAGTGAGTGCAGAACATCAATTTTGACACTGAGGGACTGAATAAAAACACGCTCACTGCCGATGACATGTATTGAGGCTCTAATGTGAAATTCAGAAGAAAGTTTAGCATAATGTAATCTTACACACAAAGTGGCCCCCTCATATAAAAGCACTTTAAAACAATAAAACACACTCTGACAGGATTTGCCGTCCTGTAGTTTCGTTTTTTTGCGACACAACTTCTGTCTTCCACCTCTAGTGTTTCATTAGTTTCAGAGAGCAGAGTTTTTGGAGACTGAAATGGATTCAATAATTTTTAACCAAAAAAGAAAAAAGAGGAAGGAAAAAAAACCCACATATGAAAATATGCCACATGCCACCTCGAGGCTCTTCCCAGGGGGAACTTCATATGAATAAAACAACAACTTTTCAACCATGACATATAATCTTTGCAAGTAAATCAAACCCAAGATCAATTATTCATTTATATAAGGAAGTACTGTTTTATTGGAATGAAAATTCTTATGCACAAATGTAGTGAAACATTTAGCATCTTTTCTGCGTGTCTTTTTTAATATTTCCAACATAGTTCAGCTGGAGTGGAAAAATAGAAACCCCAGAGTAGTGAGAGAAGTTGAATGCTTTTTAGAAATGTGTCAAAACTGTGAACCTCCATTTCCAAAACAAAAGATGTCACATGCTTAACGCATTTGGTCCTTTTACAGAAAAAACACATCAGGTTATATTAGATTAAATCTATCCACATTTCATAACCACTTTCCTAAACCTCTTGGTACGAGAGGAAAACAGTTTCTATAGAGGATGCGCTAATCTTAAGAAACCCACATACTTGTTTTGGATGGTTGATATTGACCAGTGGATTAGACATCTCTGTTTATTTTTATTCACTGACAGCGTGCAAGATTTACAAGAGAAAGCTAAAACAGTAGCCACTAAATCCAGTGTCCCTCCTGATCCCATAGAGTTTTGTACCGGCTCAGAAAGGGCTTCTTCACTGTTCTGATGGCAATTTTTAAAGGCCTTAGCTGGAGCATTTAGCACATGTGGACACTGTCAATGGGCTGGTGGGCGTATTCACTGAGCTAGAGCATCCTGATAATATTGTCTCCGGCTCCCATCAAACATAAAGGACGGGGTAAAAGCTGGCACTAACTGAATGCGGACCTGGGATCTGATTCAGAGGTAAAAAAAAAAAAAAGGTTTAAGTACGGCATGGTAAATGCTTCATGTCACTCTTCCTTCCTCTCCTCTCCTCGGCTGTGCTTTAGACAAACCTGTTGTTGTTGTTGTTGTCCTCATTGACAGCGGTGGAAACGCTGATCAGATTTGTCTGAGACTATCAGGATTGGCTTGGTTGTTTTCTCTCTCCCTCCTCTTGCCCACACTATAGCATGCGATTTCAGGAGTGCTTGCAGTGCCTTCTAAGAGGAAATGAGGAATTAGTGATGGTAAAAGGAAGCCAGGAGCTTATTTTCCTTTCCTCCCTCTCTCTCTCTCTCTCCCTTACTCTCTCTCCTTCTTTTTCATTCACCCTTTGCTTTGTGTGTCTGGGTTTGGATTTAGACAGCAACGGTGCAGCTGAAGATGTCTGGGATATACAGACAAGCGGGAGCAGTGAAGACTTCAGGTCCACAGTCTTTGAGCAACTGTACTCCAAATCATACATAAATAAGCGGATTGCTCCTTTTTTTTTCAAATCTTTTAATTTAGAGGGAAAAATAATCTTTTTAAAAACTATTTTAAAGTATCCAATGAGTTGTACTGTAAATGTATTATGGTAAAAGCTTTTTTTTTTACTCAGTCTTACAAACTTTACAGTAATGTCCCCTTCATAAACACTCCACATGCAGATGAGAGCCGAGGCCTTACACATACACACAAACAGCTATTTATGCAGGTCATATTTCTTATAGTAAATGAATAATGTGGAATGTCCTCAATATCCATAATCTGCGATATTATGCCATAAATTTGTGTCCTGAGTTAGACACTACTACCCATCATTTCACAGGTGCATACCTAACGCAGATTATCAGGGGAGGTGGGGAGGGATACACATGATTTATGTGTTAAAACAAGTCCCCTGCGTTTTCCATTACAACTAATAAAGGAATAAAATATTTCCACCTGGTGATGGATGAAGTGGCATACACCTCACTGTCAGTTCATTTTTTAAGCAAACCCACCGCTCTCCGGGTAAATAAGAATGTATGTGTTCGCCATCAGCTGCTAACCACTAACACTTTTTGGTTCGCGGAAGATACCCTTAATAACATCAGTTTGATTGATGGTGGCCTCCCCGCGTCGGAAATTCAGTAACTGTCAACTCAGGGGACTACAACGGCACTCTCACCTTTTCCTACACTCTGTTTGACTCAGCTTTTATCACTCCAACATCTCCTTTTAGGCGATTTGCTGAGTTGGACAGTGGCAGTTATGAGACCGCTTTTCAAGAACACAGAAATAAGTTGGAGAAGGATTTTAGTCGAGGATGTAGATTAGGTTGCTCCCTGAGGGCTTCCGTCCTGTTTGTTACCCTCTGTGTGTCTGTTTGTCATTGCATTCATCTACGTGCGCTGCCTCCTGTATAATCTGCAACTGTGTCTACATATGTGTGCATACGTTACTGAGCGCGCCTGCAGGCATGCGCCGAGCTGTGAGTGTCTCCCTTTTTGCGTCCGCAGATCTTACCTGCAGCCTGCGAGGTTGTCCCGTCCACGGTTCTGGTTTTCCAGCTCATTGCCCTATCTGGTCGGAACAGCCATGTCAGCTCTGTGCTGGCGTGGGGGGCGTTTCCTGTCTGCGGACCGGGTCTTAATCATCTCCAAGGCAGGTGTGTCTAAACAGACAAAGTTAGCATTCTGACCTGTGGGGTAAATCTGCAGTTACAAGCAAAATAATCACACATAAATCATACATGTTTGTAAAATGACCCTTATCTGTTTGTTATCATTGACCCAGGTTCAAGACCCCTCTGCTCAGGGGGGAGCCCAACACACAAGTGAGCCGGTTTAATGACATTGAAGCTCTCATCTCCTCTGATCTAGATCACTGGCTTTGCAACCTGTACTTTGAGGTGCGTATCCTTTTATAAATGTGTAAATATTTATGATTTTGTGGAGGTATAAGTTTAAATTCTGAGGGTTAAAATTGTGTGTGTGTGTGTGTGTTCATTCATCTCTCTCCTGACTCCGCCCAAAACCCCTTCCTGTATTATTTTGGGGGCAGGATAGTAGATCTACCGAGATGAGGTCTAGATTTTTGGATTTTCTGTGATAAAAAGCTTTAACGCAGAGATTGAAAAATTGGCCCCAGAGAGTAAACAAGAACCACATCTAAACCCAGCGAATCCGGATGCATTTGAGCTGATGCATTGATTAGATTAGTAAACATCTTAATTGAATTAAAAAGCCAGAACAAAGCTCTCTGTCTGGGGTTTGCGTCTTTATTCGTCCTTTCCATTCTGACATGCTGTTTGTATTACTGCATTATCATTACTATGGGTTGCTTTGATTTCTCAGGGATGTAAACAGCTATTTTCTTGCACTTATCGTGGAAGTACAGCAGGTTCGGATGTGCAATATTTAATTTTAATCTTAATTAAATTATTTTTACCGTAATGGCACCCTATGAAAAATACTAATAGTTGGTTATGTCTGCAGTTTAATCACTTACACCTGTAGTGTAATTACACAGACGTGCTGTTTTCCCACAAGCAGGGTTGATGCAATGGAATTATGTTCGTAAAGACTGCTTGTAAAATTAGCATTCAGAGGTTATATTAATATTCACTCAGCCCAGATGTACAGCTTTGTTTGTTTGTTTGTTGTTTCTCAGATAAAGAGGTTACCTTCTGGAGAGCCTTGTATCGCCCTATCAATCCCCACTTCGAACCCCCATCCTGAAGTCCAACATGATCAATCCCAATGCCAACTGCCACCCCAGCCTCAACCTCCGTCACAAACCCAGCTCCGTCCCCACTTCATCCATCACCAGTGCCAGTTTAACCCCCAACAGCAGCCGCACGTGGGTCCCAGCAGCCGAGCAGGAGAGCCTGCTGTGGTACACTCTCACCGGGGGTCTCCTCTCCACCTGTCAGCAGACTCTGCTTGCTCCTCCTCATCTCTGCCAGGTAGGGGTTCAATGTTAAAACCCCCCAACTATGCCACAGTGGGGAGAAAATGTCACCCTAATGTCACCAGCTCTGGGATGAGAAGACTGGCAGGCCTCACTTCCAGCAGTTCTGGAGCTGAAGTTGCTCGAGGGGAGGGTTGGGTGGGCCGAGCTTGACAGACAGACAGAAGTAACGACAAACAAAGCGTGTTTTCTCAAGTAGATTATATGCAAAAACTTAACAGATACACTGTAGCATTCGTGTTAGCTCAAGCAAATGTTTGAGCAAGCACGAATGAAACTGATAGACCCAGCCTTCAATCGTAACATATCAAGATGAAGCTTTTTGATTTTAGTACCTCCACTTGAATAAGTAAACAAAGTCTTTTCCGGTATGATGAGATGATAAAAAGTTTAAAATGACACACTTATGTATGAAGACATCCTGTAGCTTTACAGTATAAACTTTAAAGCTCCTGTGAGGAGTTCATCCAGTTAGTTTAAGTGCCTTAAAAATGACAAGAGAAGGTAAAAAGTCAGTAAAGCTGCTGAAGAAAAAGCATCGTTTTTACATTTTCCACCTTTAATTCCTCTGTAACCTTCAGTAAAACTTCTGCATACAGTTTAAGCCTTATGTGTTATATTAGTTTAGGAGGTAGAGCGGTCATCCAATAACTAAAAGGTTGGCGGTTCGATTCCCCCTATCCCGAGTCTGTCAGTTGTGTCCTTTGGCAAGACACTTAACCCACCTTGCTCCCAGTGTGTGTCCTCCACTGGTGTATGATTGTGTGAGTGACTACTAAGTTAGTTTACCACCACCAAGGTGTGACTGTGTGAGCGAATGAATGATGTATCCAAAGCGCTTTGAGGGTCTCTGATAAAGTGCTATATGAAATCTGATGCATTATTATTTTTATTATTAATTTTAGGCAAAAAGGAAGGTGTTTCCCACTTGTTGTTGATAAAATGGGCAATAATTGGCATCTAAAATCGCTCCACCCATCGCATGTGAGTGAAACTCCCTCTTCTTTTTCCTCGTCACGTCATAAAAGAGCTGTTTTCGTTTATTCTCTCCATTTTCTTTTTTAATTTGAAGCATCTCTTAACTTCTTTCAACACGTATGAACACACACTCAGCTTGTCACAACAATCATGAAGCCTCCTGAAGTAGCAGCACAGTGAGAGACAGTCTTTTAAAGGAGGACTCGGTTAAATAAAGAAATTTAGCAACTGCATATGATGTCATATTTCTGTATTGATATGTTGTTCCTTGTCGGACTCTTATGAATTATTCTGACGTGGTTGCCCTGCTTATCTGGTGGTCTTGGCAAGGTGATACTATGATTGTAACCACATTGAGGGGCGGATAATGACTTCTGTTAATACAAATTTGGATCCATTTCCTTATTTTGAAATACTGCAAAGCTCTCACGTCATCTCAAGTCCCAGCCATTGCCAGGAATCAATTTCAGGCTCATTTGGTATTGATCTACTACAAAGAGGACTGGCTAGCTCCTTTGTTATTAATACATCCGCCTTTTTTTCCCTTTTCTTTTTTTTTCTTTTTTTTTTTTGCACACACAGCTCATCTTTATTTAACAGTCCTCAAAAGTTTCTGGGGTGCTCTGCTTTAAACATCACACAGGCTTTTTAATTACAAATGAGTTGTGACAGGTCTGCTGGGTAGCACCCTGGCCCATTTTAAACGTGATGCCGGCTGACAGCTTGGCAGTGTTCTCCCAGCACTGAAACATGTGGAAGAAATTGGTCTTTTACATTTCACAGCTTGTCGCTTCCTCCGCCGACTGACCTGTGACCCCCCACAGAGATCCTAACGCCCACAAGGGAAGTGTCCCCAACGAACTGAGTGCATTTCCAGAGATGGAGGGAGAGAAAGAGGGAGGGTGGTGCTCACTTTGGGGGATTTATGTTTTGCCACACAAGGAAAAATGTACTTGGTCTTGGCTCGCGCACAGACACGGACGCTGGCACACACACATTCTTGTAGCCAGGTGAGAAGGTTGCTCTTGAAGTGAACCCGATCTGTAAAAATCGGATCAAAAGGTGTCCCGCACAACACCTCATCCATGCCGAACCTTAAGCCGACCTGACGTTTGTGCCTCATTTGCATACAGATCTGCTCATTTTGCATTACCTCTGGAGCGAATTATGGCATTCAGATGGGGAGATTACGTCAAGGTTGAAGAGAGCGATTGAACGGACAACTTTAACCCAGCCAAAAATGGAAATCCAATTCAGCGAGGAGAAGAAGAACAAATTATGCCCTGTTCCAGAGTCCTCTGTCAAGTCTGGGGGTTTCAGACATTTCCTTTCCATTTCATGCCTTTCTGTTTCTAATGTGTGCCGTGCAGAGAAGGCTTTCTCTGCGCATGTGGCGCCAGGATTTTTCCTCATTACCCGTTTGTCTCAGAATCAGGACGAGTATATGGAGACCTCTTGTCATTGCGATAACACGCGCACACAGCAGAGCTTGACAGTGAGACGGGAAGTTTGTATTCCTGAGGCCTGAAAAGTTAATTAATCCCCGAAGAAAAATCAGGGTGTGCAGCAAGGTGTCTATTACAGAACAAAAACCTGACATCCCAATCCAGTACCTCTGACAGGTTTCCATCAAACAAATCACAGGGTTTCAGAGCGGGCGTTGATGTTTTTTGTCTTTCAGATTGACTTGCTGTTGGTCGATCATAATGCAGATTTACCTCGCCTGAACCGTCCGAGCATAATGGAGAGAATTTGGCTTTTTAACGTAGAGATTAGCTAGAGGCGAACTGGGTTAAGTGACCTTTTACATTAGCTGAATGATCCAGTTACAATGGGTTTGTTTGAACCCGAATGACTAATTAGATTAGTGTCTCGTTTCATGATCGCCTTTAGTGGATCACTGTTAGCACGCAGATGATTCTGCCATAACTGTATCACTCTCTCTTTTTTTTTGTTATTTTATTTATTTTTTACAAATGCATCGTAACATCCATCCCCCTGAGCACACATGGTGATTTCGAGGATTCCTCATCTAATGTCTTCTTTGGAGCGCTGCCCTGCACTTTCAGGATGTGCTCCCCTCCAGGCCGGTCCCAGTCATCAGTGTTGCAAACCACAGTGTTACATCATCCCCGCTCAATCAGTCGCACTCTGCATCCCCACGATTAACGCAACAATGTCCGGATTCCAAACGGATGGACTCAAACCTTTGAAGCCTGTTTTGCGGGGATACACATGTAAACCCTCACCGCGGGTGTAGTAAACAAGCCTAAAGGACTGCACATGGGGGACAAATACGGACCATATGGGACAAACACACCCGAAGGTGACAATGTCATAGTCAGAAAAAGGGACACAAATATCTCAAACCAGCGATAAGTGTGTTTCTGTCATTAAAAAGTACAATCAGAACAGAAAAACTCTGGTGTGAAGCGACACCAAATACTTGCAGTCTCATAGCAACCTTAACACAAATCCCGACATGGACTCAGGGGTAATCCATGAGTCACTGACCTTCAATCCCTGTGTAACTTTGGACCAGTCATCAGGCAATTAGGGGCCTAGGTGAGCAAGAACCGCCATCTCAGCCTGGTTGCATCTCACCGCTAACACACTGATGGGGTCTCGACAGAGTTACGGCCCTCAGGCTTCTCTCTTTCCTCGGTCTGTTTTTGTGTGTACACAGGAGGGAAGCGAGGTGTGCTGCAGTTATGAGATACACTCATTTTTTTATTTTTTATTTTTCTACCCTAGAAAATGTTTGTGCATGTATGCAAGAGTCTACATATTAATGTGTTTGTTTGCATGCCTGTCTGTCTGAGTCCGTGTGCGTGCATGTGTGAGTGTTTGTGCTGTACTTAACTGAGCTCAGAACAGGGAGGGTGGGGGGGATAACAAGGAGTTTGTTGTTGGCCTTGAGTGCCCGAAGAGGCTGGAGTTGTGGCAACTCCAGCGCTCCGAGTTCACAGACGTAGCCCTCAGCTGTCGATGATGTCGAAGCTGTCGATGCTGCCTCCGCACTCATTCTGGTTCCACAGCGTCTGTGCATTAGCAAGCAGGGCCTGCTGTAATGAGTGTGTGTGTGTGAGAGAGAGAGTGTGAATGTGTGTGGTTGTGCTGTCTAAAAAAGCATCTGAATCCACGGTGGTATGAGTCTGTAAATGCAGGGTTGGTGGTGTTGTTGTTGACGATGTATCGAGGTGTGTGTGTGTGTGTGTGTGTGTGTGTGTGTGTGTGTGTGTGTGTGTGTGTGCTGAAGCATCTGGCCATAGGCTTCTTTGCACAGTCTCAGACTGTCTGCACAGCAACAAACACACTTTTCTGTAATTATTTTCTTAACTTAGAATATAATAGCAATGAACTTTTCAGACAATAAAAAACAGTTTGAGATGCTTCGATAGAAAGGAAGAATATTCAGTCTGAAAAACAGTAAAATACTGTCGGTGCTCCTTTTGTTTTGCACATGAAAGTATAATTAATCTTGATTTCTTGATGTATCATCAATTCTTCATGGAAATCTTTTTCACAGCAATTTAGGATTGAGCTAAAAATCTCGTCACCATGTACATGAGGTAGTTAACTGATGCAGTTTGATGTCATAAAGTGGGGTAAATTAATTATCTTGTAATATAATGTTTTTAAAAAAGTGAAATATTTTTGATTTATCTTATTCCTAGAACAGAATGCATCTAAACTTATTACCTTATCACTGTAGGCACTCCAAATGTTTATCCCAGCAAAGCGCTGGTAATTAAAAACTACATCTGTGTCAGGATGAAATCTGATTTCAGACTGTTAAAAATAGCAGTGAGCATTCTCCTCCTGCTATTTAAGTCAATTTTAGCTGCCAGTAGGATTCTTATGTGCTGCCTATATTTAAGTCATTATTACTGGTATATTTAATCCCGCAGCAAGAGTGAAATTATATCATCGCAGAGGTTTCCATATGTATTATATAGATGTGACTGGTTCCACAGGGGGGGAAAAAAAAGTTTCACATAGTGAGATTTTTACATGTATCAAGCTAAGGTTTACTTAATTACAACCTCCAGGCAATGCAGGAACCCTTTTTTAAATTCTGTGAATGTTAATATGCTAAATAATGCAGATCTCCGACTCTTCAAGCATGAGACACACATCTGGCGGCTTACCATTTAAATTACAGCAAAAAAAAAAAAAAAAAAAGGAAAGAGAGAGAGAGTGAGACAGATAGAGAGGAAAGAAAAAAAAGGGTTAGGATGAAAAAATACTTCAAAAGTAATTTTCCCTGGAAGAGAAGAATGGGAGAATGTATTACAACCAAACTTAATTTCTTTTTCGATTTTTCATAATTTCTAATTGCATACATTACAGTGCTGAGGCTGAGATTGTGGGAGACAGAGATGACTGTGCAGTAGGAGCTCCATTAGTTTAACACGAGGAAAATCTGCCTTCGTTGCTCCTGCAGGTCTCCAGATAGTAAACCAAAACATCTTCACTACCTGCTTAGGAGAAGAGAATCAAGATAGGAGCAACACATGCACTGTGTTCAAGAATGCAAGGAGATTTTTTTTGTCCTTTTGTCAACGTCATAGTTTTTGTAGTTAAACTTCATATGATTCATTTAAAAAGACTGAATCTGCTGTTTATAATCTTTCTGGTTGTGTGTAAGTTTCTGTCACATTTGCACGCTTTTTCCCCCTGAATGTCCATTTTTTGCTGATTTTGAATATTTAACAATAACTCAAACAACTGTATTCTCGTAATCATTTGGATTTTTCTAATATAAATATTTCTAAACCACCCTTGAGCCTCATTATGATTGCCAGATGTGGTTAGCAAAAGAAAACAAACATGAACCTTTCCTTCTTTTTCACACTCACTGCACATAACTTCTCTGTTTGGGATGCAGGCAAGAATTCCTCCTCTGGAGCCATTTCTGGAAACATGGGCGAGAAGAGTGATCCATGCCGGGAGAAAGCGGAGGGTGGGATTCACTACAAGGTAACACTGTGATTTAAGGGAAAGTATTCCCACCCTTGAAATGAGCACCCTCTCTGCTCTCCCTTTCCCGCCCCTCTCTGCACCCCTACACACACCTCCCCGGCTTATTATCTGAGATTTGTCAAAATACATTTCACACTAACAGGTATTTTTCAGCCTTCAAAGCCAGTTTTGATCTGCTTGACAAGCCAAAGCAGCTCAAATTCTGTGAAATCAGCAAAGCCAGCCAGGCCTCCCTTTTTTTTTTCTTCTCCAAGCCGCTCTCAACACGCCTCTTCCTGTGCTACAGAAGACTTAAGCTAAATTAATCAAAGCCTGCATGTTACCTGCCATACTTTGAAGTGGTAATTGTAAAATTACCCTGTGTGCTGATCTGGCGTTGCTGCCTCGCGGTCCGCCCCTGCCATTGAGCCTCGGCTGTTGGCCTTTTGTTGTTCGGATGTTATTGTTAAGGTAGTTTGAAGCCTATGAACAAAACTCAGTCTGTCACAGCAAGTGTACACATCCTCTCCTTCCGCCGCTCTCCTCCAAGTCTTTCGTCTTACTTGCCTCCTTCTGCTGACGTACAAGACCTTCCATTAATCAGCGATGACCTGTTAAATAAATGAGATTGTTGATATGAGGTTTTATTTCTCGGCAGCCTCTAAAGACCGGCTTTTTTCCTCTCCTCTTGGCCCTTTCTTAAAACCTTGCTAACTCTGTCAAATGTCGTGGTGTGGAACCCAGTTGTCTAATGATTAAGTGGAGTGATCTCCAACCTGCCCCAGCCTGGGAGCGCTAGGGATCAGATTTCAACCCTTCAACCTGCAGTGCAGCCCTAATTAAAATGAATTTTCTCCAGGCGACCACTTTGCCCACAGGGCAGGAATCCAGCTATATACGGAATCCACTCTTAAGGTATTGCATTAAATTTATTGTTGGGAGACACCGGAGAACATTGCGGTTTATATATCTCCTGCTTTTTTTTTTTTTTTTCTCTCCTTGCTTTCTCACCCGCTCCTTTCCACCTTTTTATTGTGATCATCACTCTGGAATCCAAGCTTGCTTTGGCAAAGATTGCCCTATGAAAACGGATGGAGCTTTTATGGGGCCCTGCCCATTTACTACTTCCTGGGCCTAGTTTATCTCAGAGGGAGAAACGGGGCGAGGGAGAAATGGAGGAGAGGAAAAGATGAAGAAGAAGAAAAAAAAAAAGAAGAAGAAATGGAGAGAGGTAGAGTGAGACAGGGGGAGAAGAAAGAGAGGGGTTGCTTATTCCAACTGTGGATCTCATTAACATACATCAGCGAGTATTTCACAACTTCAAGCAGGAAGGCACTAAGCCCACCCAAGGGCAACACAGGCAGGGCTGACAGGGCCAGGGAAAGCAAGCCGTTAACATGTTGGCGGCTTAACAAATAATATCTGCTCCCAAGTACCTCGGTGAAATATTTAAAACCCCACTTCCTAACTCCATTTGACTGTGTTTATGACGATGACAGTAAACGACTTGTGTGGAAAAAAACAGTGCCAGCTGCTCAAATATCACATATTTAACACCGCACTCACTGTACTGCATGTTCCCCAAATGAACTCGCCTTGAATGATGGCGTGCCGTATGCGATTTCGCCGTCGTTCTTGTCTTGTGTCAATTGAGGCGCGGTTGAGATATAGGAGAGGCTCCAAAGTGCCACGCACACTGTCACTGTCACCGTGTGCATCCCCCAAGATAAATTCAGAGGCCTGTTTCCTGCTTTGATTACAAATGACATCCGCATGTGTTCTCCCCGATTTCTGCTCCTCACAGAAGAAGCCAATCAAGAAGACAAATAGCTGCGGCCCCAGCATGAGCGGCAGCAGCGCACCGCCACGGCAGGCAGACAAACAGAAGATGCAGAACCTCTCCGCGGAGGAGATGGAGGAGTATACATTCTCCCTACAGTAAGTCTCACCACTCATTATCCTGCCTCAGCCTCACAACATTCAGATGTGGAGAGAGAGAGGGGGGAAAAAAAAAAAAAGAAAAACGCGAGTGACAACTGGTTTGTGTGCCTCACAGACAGTGATGTGTGCAGACAACAAAATGTGCCTTGAACACCTCTCATCCAGATAGAGATACAGCCGGAGATACAGTAGTCAAATGTGTTTCAGGGGAAATCCTAACTAAATGAGTTTACGGCTGCTATAACTTTAATCTTGTACGGCTCACTTGTAATTTGTCAACATAAACAAGTCACAGGCAAAGTAATTCGCGGGGCCTCATAGCTTAATTTGCTCTGAAAAATCAGCCCCTCATCACGTTTGAGGACTTTGTGAGAGTTTCGCAACAACCTTTAATCTCATCTATGAGTAATTTGACATCTTTATCAAATCTGAGTTTTCAGCATCTGCATTTTTTCGACCGCAATCTCCATGATAATGCGGAAAAAAAAGCGAATTGCACCTTAAAATTTAACAGTTTGGTGAGAAAACAGCCTGTTTTTATTTAGAGTAATTCGGTTTTAACAATATTACTTTTTTGCAGCCAAACCAAACATTGCTCAATCCATTATGTCACCATGTGGCGTGTTCGTTTCCCACTCCTCTGCATAGCGAAATGCAACAAAAGAGCTTTGGAAAAAAGAAAAAAAAAAGAAAAAGGTTTTTCCTCTTCACTGTGGCTTACAGCATTTGATTTTAATGAGAAAACTGGGATGAATGAAATATAAACAAAGCAGGAAGCAGTGAATTTTCAAACACCATGGCCAAATGTGTTAAAAGCAGTGATGTGCAGCACTGTATGCCCATAGAGCATCAAAATAGGCTAAAAGCAAAATTGCTTATTTCAACAAAAAAGTCACAGGTATTTGTTTTTATTTGAACGTCAAGTAAATTAAGGGGAGGGGATCAGCACACACACTGCTACACTAGGGGGGAGAGGGAGACACACTGAGAGAGAGAGAGGAAGAGAGGGAGTGTATGAGTGTAAGAGAGAGAAAGAGAACTCTCCCTGGAGATTTAAAAGTACCCATGTTTCCTCATTTGTGGGAGTTGGTAATTTATAGCTGCTGGTCACATATTAAACAAGATCAGAGACTACTCCCTGACATCTTCTGAGCATACTGGGGGAATTCAAATGATTACCAGCGTATCCTGCCAACAAATGACGACACAGGGACTATCTGGAGGGAGAGTGAATACAAAACGAACACAGAAACCCGGGCAGGCTGCGCACAAAGGGACACAATTAAATGGTTTTCACGATTATTCATAGTGCCGCTTTTTTACCTCTGAGCACTCGCAGGGTTCGGTGAGATGAGACGTTTCTGTCAGTTATGGGTACGGATTGTATTGAGCCGGAGCCCTGGCGGTTCCCTGATGCCCTGTGAAGGTGCTGCTGCTATTGATTTCATCTTTACCAGCACACACATTACAGTATCTCTGAGCTAAAGGCATCTTCTTTTTTTTTTTTTTTTGCCCTCGCATAATCAGAGCATTAGAGAGATGCAGTGCCAGTGTTGGCTTCCAGAATAAAGTTAAAGACACTGAAATCACAGAGTCATCCCCTCACCCGGCTCCCCCACTGTGCTGTTTGACTTACTCTGGGCTCCTCTACATCACCTGAGGATGCAGACCAAAGGGATTGTTTACAGATTTCGTATTTTTGTTGCCGTAATGATGTCATCTCCATCTCTTCTGGCATTTTTAGAAGCTCTGTTTGTGTCTTTTTGCGAGTGTGTTTATGTGCATGTGTGTGGGAGTGTGTTTGTGTTTTATACGTGCATCATTTCTTGACTCTGTCTGTGTACAGTACGTGTGCGCCTGAATCTCTGTGTGTGTGTATATATACATGTATTTTATGTGGGATGAGGATTCCTGCTGCAGTGATTGAGGGATATTACTGCCATCTATTGAGCCACGAGAGACTGAGCTCATTGAGATTTTTATAGGGCGTCCCGACACAAATGTGCAAATCAGATGCTCATGCATTATTGAGGGAACACTTACAAACCGTAAGATTGAGTTTGGAAAGTCGGAGGATCCCTACACAAAGCTTCCATTGACAGAATGTCTCAATTCAGACAACTTTATTCCTTAAATAAAATAATTTTTCAGCCATATTTATCCAGTGGAATAGAGCAGATCAGATATTTCAGAACTCCACAGTCTGTACAATTGCATGTTTTTGCAGGCTCTGGCTGCAAGTGGGAGCTAAAGCATAGATTCATGATTTAAGAAAAAAAAACAAACTAATATTTGAAATGAATTTTTAGATGTGGAAAATTAGTGTGTTTAAAGGAACTAAAGTCAGTCTCTAATCAGTATCACCTCCTATTTTTAAAAGCCTACCTTATCCATTCAGACCAGCACAACTACTCCTTAGAAATACGTCATCTAGACCCTGATTGGGCCTCTTTTACCAATAATTATATTCAGAATTAATAATTCTAGCATTTAAAGTGTAGATTTTAGCTCTTTCTTTGTCAGTGTTTTTGATTTATTTTCTGGTTTGAAACCTTGAAAGCACTAAAAAAAAAAAAAAAAATGGACTCATAATATTGGTTAAATTACTATAAACATATACTGCACATATTGACAGTTGTAAGTCAATGAAAAAGGACTGAGAAAAACAGTCCAGGAATGATTCTCCTCCTTTCCTCCTTTTTTTGTTTTGAGTTCAAATGCTGCTGCTCTCTGTTTGAACACGCCTGAGAGACTCCTGCCGACCTTCCCGTTTTATTGATGTCTATAAGTGCAAACTTAACCACCTTTTTCTCTCTCACAGAACAGCTCTGAATGAAATCAAAGCATCTGACTCAACTTGAAAGGACCAGTTTAAGACTTTGCACACACTCAGCTTAGTAGATATTATGTTACTGTTGCTAAAGCTTTACATCCTATTTTCCATTTTAACTTTTAAAAAGTTTAATTCTTCACTAAAAGTTGATGCTTCAGAATAAAATGTTATTTTGACTGCCACTGACTCAGGTTTTCTTGCATCTACGATTATTGCAAACAACCCTCTCACCAATGTCACCGACTATTTTTCTACCTTGGTTTTGAAGAGAGGAACCTGTTTTAATCAAAGTCATTCTCACATAGCAATTAGATCTAATTAGTCCAATTATCAAGATTCTAATTACATTGAAATATACCCCCTAAATCTCATATCAATTATAGTATGTGTGACTTGTCCTGATCAGGAGACATGAAAAAAAAGAGAGAGAAAGAGAGAGAGACAGTGCAAAGACAAAGCTGGGTGGGAGGTAGAGTAGGAGAGCACCCAACTACTCCGGAGGCCAAATGACAGCAGAACTGACTCCATCTGTCCCCAAAGCTTTTATTCCGGAAGTCTGCGTGGCCATTTGGGAATAAATGCCACTTTTACTTTCTCTTTTTCTCGTCTGAACTATTTTTTTTTAACAAAGATGATTTTAAGATTAGACACTACCACCTTCTTTTTTCCACTGGATTAGCAACGAACAAAAAAAGTTTTAGCATCCGTCTTACACTCTGCTATGGATAAGTACGTGAAAAAGAGTTTTCATCCCTGTTTTAATCAAATAACCAAACAAATCGGGACACTAAAATGCACACAAACATTCACAGACCTGCACACTGTGATATCATAGTGGTGAAGAGCAGCACTGTAGGTGCACCCACAAAACACACATGCACAGACACACATGCACACATGCACAGCCTGTTCTTGTTGTGGAGTCAGAGGGAACACACTGACCTAATTTCCCCCAGTTAGCTCGCCTCGTTGGGGACCAACAATCCTCTCCGCCCGTTTCCCCCAACTGAGCCTATCAGAGCACTCACTCACGGTGTCTCTGCATCCCTGTCTTTCTGTGCCCTCCATCTGTTTGACTTAGTACACATGCTCAAACGTGAGATAAGCAGTTTCATGTAAAGCGAATCTGCAACATGTAATATGTGCAATAGTACGGCAGAGCTCTACCATAGGGAGACATAGAAGTAAATCTGCACGAAAGACAGAGATGGACAAATAAAAACACCTGAAATAACAACTAGTTCCAGGCTGTCAATCCTTGCACACTGCAGCTCTGAATCACAACTCAGTGCAAGGGTCAATCAATTCTGATGTAATGCTGGTAGGAGAGGTGGGTGGAGATGGCAGTGCTGTTCACCTCTGGGTCTCTAGTGCTTTCCAGGGCTCTTTCCTGTGCTGAGGGGGCAGGAATGTGTCTACGTGAGTGTGTGCGTGCGCGTGTGCGTGCGTGCATGCATGTGTGAAAGAGAGGCCCCTGGCTAACCGCGGCCCGAGTGCACATGTTAGGGTTTTCTGTGGCCAGACGCGCCCTGGGTCACTCTGGATCTCGTAGACGCACACACACACAATCAACGTGCCGCTTCCGTTATGGAAATCAGAGCTGTCAGTTTCCTGACAGGCTAATGTTGCGATATGATTGGTTAATCTGCAGTGATGTGGGTGTCAGTCAGAGCTGACTGCGGTCCCATTGGTGGTCTGGGTCAAATGAACGTGTTTCCCACAGACACGTCAGAGAGGGCGAAGGGAGGGCTGATCAGATTGAGAGGGAATGACAGGAGCTATATGTGAGAGCGTATGAGTGATTGCGTGTGATCCATGCAGGAGAGAGAGAGAGCGAGTGTTTGTGTGCGAGAGGAAGAAATAGAGCGAGGCCAGAGGTGACACTTCCCTCACGCTCTTCTTTTTTTCATCTGTAATCATTCGCTCTCCAGTCTGACAGAAACATCTAAAAAAGATGGTGTAAGTCAACAAACAAATCCCAAAGAACTTAGAAGTGGAGTTTTACACGCAGATACATGTTAGCTAATGCACTGCAGCACAAACATTCGCTAATGCACTGCACCCTGTGCAAATAAATATGAACTTTTAGAAAAATAGCGCTGACAGGCAGCTCTAATAATATAACTGACAAGTTGTAGACGTAGATGTAATCAGATTTGGATCCTCGATGAAGCGTTTGTGTTTGTGTGGGCATGACGTCATCATCATCTGTGCTTATTTTAACCACAGCGAGTTTAGAAAAAGAGAGCGCCTGATTGATAATTGGTCGGTCACTGCATTAGTATTATTAGTTATCATTCACCAAACTGAACACATGGGATCTCAAAGAAGTGATTTTAAAGCCACAGATGCCTCTTCTTTTTGGGAAAACCTGTTAACTCATGTTGTTTTTCCTCTTCGCACACATACATGTTACACATGTTCATTGTGACTCAAAATGATTTCCTCTCTCCCTCTAACTTCATCCTGTTAATTCTGTCTTTATCTCACTTTCTCTGCCTCTAATTTTCTCCATCTTTCTCTCCATCCTCTCCTCATTTTCTCTCTGTTTCTATCTCTCTGGTGACAATGTCCTGCAGTTATGAGGCAAGGTCAGAGAAGTGAAATCCATTTAAATACTGATGCAACTCTCTGGAGGCTCGTACTCAGCCTCCGCTGCACTCCTCCCTCTACGCCTCACCCAAATTGATGAATGGATAGATATCCTCAGAACATGGATTATTTGTTGTGCATTAATCATTTGATGGATTACACATTTATTGGCACCACGTTTAGTCTATTTTTTCACTGACCCCTCGAAAAATTTTATGGGGAAAAAAACAGCTTGTACTTCATTACTGGTAGCTGTTGTAGCTGTGTGTGTGAGAGAGCCTGGGAAGCCCCTGTGTGTTTGTTGATCCCAGGTGCATTTGCATTTGAAATGTTTCCACCCTAGTTTATGGCGCTCCAAGGGACCTGCCATTTCCATGTTTTAATCCCTTCTCGTGCTAAGTCAGGCGCTCCATAAAAACGCCACATGTTGCATGGCAATGAAACGGCTACCTCACGTATGCATCTAAACTATTCCAAGGTGTGTGGGGAGGCCAAAGTATGCTTTTTGCAGGAGGGGTTTGTTTGGCTATTGCAGAAGTCATATTATCACCACAGATTGTATAAAACACGGAGGCGGTCTTGATTTCTGGAAAGGTGTTGTGCGCAGAGATGTGTGGAAATGCTGACTCCTACAAACTTTTGGCCGATGTAGGAACAGAAAAATGTGCAGAACTTTTGTGCTCACCTGTCACTTGCAGCAGCCAATAGGGTATCCTTGGTTAAAGATAGAGTGAGCATTCAGTTTAATTAAAGGGATATTCCGGCATAAAATTAATTCAGGGTCAAACACACCGACTTAGACCCCCCTTCGAGAGATGATTGTTGCCAACCGCTTGCTTCTCTAGACACAGCGGTCTTAGGAGCTATATCATAAATGATCTTCCTTGAGCTGCGTCACCCCGCTGCAGTCCATAATGGACAGGCCCGAGGTCTCGCTACAAACAAGCGGCTGCTGGAAGAGAGTCGGTGAGTTGTGTTTAGTCTCTTTGCTAAAGAAATTCGGCAAAGTTCAAAAGATGTTTGGTGGCTAGTACTATGGCTAGAACCCCATATGTACTGTTGATGAAGTTAGGTGCTGTTCTGAGCATTATTTGTGGCTATAGAGTGGCGTTGATATAACTAGAGAAGCAAGCGGTTATTCGTCTCTCGTGGGCTGTCTAACTTGGTGTTACGGTGTGTTTGACCCTAAATTAATTTTACACCGGAATATCCCTTTAAGGACTGTATAACACTACATCCACTTTTACTGATCAGAATCCAAATTAACAATTTATTATATCTGATTGATTACAAATAAATCAGCCCATAGTCATTTCCTCCAAATAGCTCTCTGGTCTGAATTTAGTTTCCTATCTAAAACACTTCTTTTCAGTCTGAAGCTTAATTTTAAATTTAATACAATGTAATTTAATATTTACATAACATTTATATCCACTTATGATTTTGTGAAAGCATTACAACTCAACTGCAGCAGCACAAAGCTCCTGTAGCCTTTTCCATTGCTCGCCTGCCATGGGAGACCCTCCCTTGCATTGTAAAAATGAGACCCAGCCATTAGTCAAACATGAATTCCTAATTAAGTGGAACATATTTTTTAATGCTTTTGATTATGCTCCTCACTGCTCCCTGTCAGCTGCAAATAATTCTGATAATTTGGTGGTGCATCGTTATACTATTTTAATTATACAATGATGATTCCCAGCTCCACAGCTGAGTCACACATCCATAATTCTACTTTAACTACATCCCAAATACCTGCCACTGTGCTCCCGTTATGTCGATGAAACCAATTTATGTGCATTTCACTTTGCCTGGGTCTCTGTTAAAAATCTTTATGAAGCCTCCGAATGATGAGATAATTGTTCCTGGAACAAACAAAATTTAAGAGCCGAGAAACAGAAAGAAGGAGCAGAAAAGTTAAATCAGAAGCAGATTTGTGTTTTTTGGGGACTATTTTTAAGCATAAATAAAACTTCTCTCGAGATGATATAAAAATGACTCAATTATCCAAAGGCCTTGCAGGCATATTGTGCTGCTCTGTTCAACTTGTTTCTATACGCACACACACAGACACACACGCACATGCACACGCACTCAAGGTGCTTTGGAAAATGATACCAGCTTAGTAACCAATAATTATCATTTAATACATCTTGTGGGAGTGAGTGTCTTTGTAATTTCCACTTTGTGAAGTTTCATAGCTTCCTGCTGTATATTTTTCCTGCTTGTGCAAAGCTCTGCATTTTGAAAACCATTACTTCAGTGTTTGTGTTTCTGCATGTGTGCAGTTAATAGCTACTAAAAGCAAAATATGACTATTGTGGGAATTAAACTAGCATCTGGACGTTTAGTAAACTCGGCTTAATGTGCATACAGGATGTATTTGTTCATGTTTATGTGCACCTTGTCTTTGCACAGGAGCTCCTACATATAAATAGTATAGAGAAAAATCCTGAAGTCATTTACGCTGAGAAGATGTGCAGTTTAGGGGGGTCCTGATACAACTTTTTTTTAACTTCCGATACAATATTGTAGCCTTCAATATTGACCAACGCCGATATTGATCCGATATTGGCACAAAACTGTGCATGACAAGTTTTTCACTCAGCTGCAACGTCTTTTTCGGGCTTAGACAAAAAATACTGCCACAAGGCCAATATCACTCTTACTCTTTGCTACTTTGTTAGTTTTGAGTACACACTGTTGTTGTGATTTTGTGCGCACAGCTTGCTGGATCTGTGCGCTCTTCGATAGAGGTGCCGGAGTGGAGTCTGGAATGGACTGCTTGTATCGGAGTGCTCATATCGGAGATTTTAGATGCAGGCCGATAAAATCTGATAGTCGTTTTTTTGCAGATATTGGGTCGATAGCCAATATGAATAAGTCTGTGGCTCAGTGGTAGAGTTGGTCAACTGTCAGTCAAAAGGTCAGGGTTCAATCCCAGGTCCCTGGATTCACATATGGAGGTGTCTTCATGTTAATATCTGCATATGTACGTACATGCGGAAGCAAACAAGACCATCAGTGATAAGCTTGACAATTTTTAATGTCTGAAACTGGTGTGGGGGGGAGCTGAGTGTCACCTGTCAGTAGGATGAGATTACGTAAATACATAGAAGACAAGATAGAGTTAAAGCTTTCTCCACAGGGGGCGCCAAAGTTGGCACGAACACAAAGTTGGTTTTGAGCACAGATACTCTCTTGATCCAAAGCAAACAAATTATCGGCATTCTTAAAAATGAAATGTTGACAAAGACATGGTATCTCTTGACACCTGAGATAATCACACTTCCATAATCACCACAGCACTTCTGCATCTGAGCCACAAACAAAACAATCACATTATCTGTCAATCTCTTAAGTCTGTTTCCACTCTGTGTCTCTCTGCTGTCTTTATTTCCCTAACACCACACCATCCTTGGACAGTGTGGGAAAAAGACGTGTGCTTTTAGTGCTTTTATAGACAATGCCCCTGGCCCAAATAAGAAAGTGACAGAAAAAAACAACTTAATCCCCCCAAAATAAAGGGATAAGACCAGTGCTTTAAGTGGCCTAAGTCTTGGGGGTTTAAGCCATCGGGGCCTTGCAAAAGGATTCTGAGGGTTACCTTCACCCTCCTTGGCCCCGGAGCCTTCTCATCATAAATCTGCTCTTTAAAATATAACACTCCTCTCCTCCTCCTCCTGCTCTTCTATCTCTTATTACCCACGCTGTTTTAAAGGTTTAATACTTGTCCATACTTGCGTTTCACTCTGTGCTATTTTTAAGAGTGGAACTGCTCTTTGTTGTCATGCCTTACAATATTTAGGAACACAGCTGAAAGAAAAGGTCTGTGAGGTAATTCCTGCTCCGACTGTTGACAGATTTACGCAACTTAAATTTGATTTACAGGTATTGACGCTCAGCGGTAAGATTCGGGGGGGGGGATGATGAGTCTTTTGCAGTTTGCTTTGACGGCATGGGAATGAACAACAAATGCATCAAAACTGAGATAATGAGTGAACAGCTTCTGGCCCAGATTTCACAGAATCATATAAAGTACAATTAAAATTTAGTTCTATGTGCCAAATTCTGCCTGTTTAAGCGGCTAGTTTTAACTCGAGCCTGCTACGCCACATGCTATCAGTCGTTCAAGGGACAAGCTGTGATATTGAAATGAAACATCCTTCCTTCCTGCAAGATAAAAAGCCCACACCTCCACCCCCTGCCTTCCCCTCTCTTTCTGCACTGTACTTTTGTAATTGGAGGTGCCATAATGAAATCAATTCAGTGGTGAGAACAGATTTCACATCATGTTATGAGTTTGCTTTGGAAGCAGCCGCCACATGAAGACGTCTAAAAATATCCCTCTTTCATGCATCATCAATATCTTCATTACATGAAAGATGGGCGTCAGGTTGTATTTGCTGTTTTCGTTTAATGTCACTTGACAGGGTAGCATCTTGCCTGTGTCTGTGACACACTGCTGTTTTGTCTACTCTGTAATTCCACTTTTGCAGACATGCGGAAAGCAGTTTTTTAAACCACACTGTGAAGCAAGTCGCGATAAAGCTTGGAACAGAAATAAAGCGCTTTTGTCAAATCAAAGTCACAATAGCGAAGCAGAGACACACATTGCTCTTACATTATCATCTTTTTGTTTGCGTTACACTTCAAATCTCGGACAAACACACACTTGACACTGGGATTGCACACTTTTCAATGTGAAGTCACAGCAGAAATGCTCTTCATTGTAGTGACCTGAAAAGCTGACATATTATGTCATGTGTGGCTGTTTTGCATCATGTAGCTCTTGTATTTCAAAGATGCACGCTATTATGGGACCTGCCACCACACATCACGCAAATAGTAGGGCGCAAAAAAAGGAACAGTTAATGGTACACTCAATTTACATTTAAGAAAACATAATTAAACAGATGATGCAATGATATTTGGCCACGTTGTCACACTGCATTTTTCGTTTTTCCTGCAGCTCACTGACCTCAAACAGGAAATATATTGTGGTTTCAAATCTTAACAACAGTACCGACTGCTAACTGACTTTTATAGCAGATGTTTATTCTCTGCCCCTGTTTATTTCAAAGCTATGAATATTTATCAGCCCAAACTGTTGACTGAGCATTTTCTGAATGAATCTCAAGCTCTCCCACGTGTACAGTACTCTACACCGCAGCTCTGGTGTGCATCCACTGAGGAACTTGATAACTTCAAATAATTTAACACTTCAGAGAGCGAGCCCACCTCGCAGCCGCAGCAGCAAGGATGATCTCTTTTTGTCTGTGACTTCTGTGGAAAAAGATAGAACGCTGCATTTTGATGTAAGTCTAGCCTAATTATTATTTGGTGTTAGTGGAGGGGGGCAATACAATTGATTCTGTTTTTTTTTTTCTTCTTCTTCTCATTATTCGTCTTTAGGCGTTGTACCGTTTTCCCAAGACACACACTACAAAGTGAATTCCTACTGTGTTCTGGGACATAGTGGTGAGACACAGGGATGTCCACAGGCAAAGGCCCTAAGTTACACTCTGTGATGCTAACCATCGCTGTATACGTTTACTTTAGCCACGTGCTAATTACAGTCATCCAGACGATAGGGGTCATCGGGGTCTGCTATTGTTGACACGTTCAAACTTTAATAAATGGATGTTTTAACTTTTATCTACACATTGAATTCCTGTCCACAAAGACGCACATCATACAGTGTTGTCCTCTTCTCTCCTCTCCTCTCCTCCTCTCCTCTCCTCTCCTCCATCTGTGCCCCCTATATGAAAGGGAATAGTTGAGCAGGCCCGACAAAGGGCGGCACAGAGGAGGCAGAGGTGCTGAGGGAGTCTGAGCACTGCTGGAAGGGATTTCTTTCTGTTTGTGTGTGTGTGAGTGTGAAAGCATATTCTGTGCTTGGAAGATTTGAATAGTGCATTGGAGAAATACAGGTGTAATAAACGGGTAAGAAACTCGATTAATCTGATGAAAGCATGCATGTGAGTACAAACAGCAGTGAGGTACACATTACAAAATAATCAGGGCGTTTGTGGGCTTGATTCCCTTCAAACAAGAGTCGAAAAAGACTCAGAAGTTTTGCAGTTTTGGTGTCATGTGGAAGTAAAGGGAGCACAACGACACAGCCATGGCAACAGTTAATGTAGTATTATGTTGCAACATGATTTTATACCCTAGGATTTGATATGATACAATATGACAAGATGTGGTTCAATACAATACACAAGGCTGCAATTCAATAATTCACAGTAGAGGAATACACGTTATCATCCTTGGAGCCACATTTTTCATTGATATCATATTTAGTCTCTATATACAGTGATATTTAAAGCTCCTGTGTGGTCAAAGCAGTTTCTCCTTTACATTAGGGCTGGGTCGTTATGCTTTTCCCCCAATTCGATTCTTCTACGACTTTTTTGGACGCCGATTTGATTTAAATTGCAATTCAACGATATTGTTGATTTTTAGTCTGCATTTTTAACACCAGTGAAACAGCTGAATGATTATGATTGTCTTCTGACTATTCCAGGAACTGTATTTCCCCCAAAAATACACATCAAATGATAGTGAGTTTTTAAGATTTATTCTTAAAATTGAAAAAAAAAAACAATTTTTGAACATAAAAATCGATTTTAAAAATTGTAAAACAAAAAATCCCAATACTTATGTGAATCGATTTTTGTCTCCCACCCCTGCTCTACATGCTTAAGAATTGTCTTTTATAGCAAAATCTCAGTATCCTGCTGACTGATTACAAACAAATATATTATTTGTAGTAAATATTTTATGCAGATGTTTTAAAACAGACATTTCTTCTGCTGCTCTGCTGACAACTACCCCTTCGTATTGGTTTCAGGCATTAAAAATTATGATAAAGAAATGGTCAGTCTTGTTGCTAAGGGTCTTGTTTGCTTTTGAGTAACATGTAAGGACAACAAAATCAATTTCAGTCTATTTCATAAATGCCAAAAATCTTCTCAAAGGAGCTTTAACTTTTAAAACATTTAATTTTCTGAGCAAAAAATGAGCAAAAAAAAAAGTAGTGATGTCTTAATGGTGGATCCTGTTCCTTTCTGTCTGAATACAGGTCAGCGTTGACTGGACCAGACACTCGCCCTTCACGCCTTTCGGACCGAGCCCGCATGGCCCTCCGCATGCTGCCGTCCGAGCTGGGCCTACCGTTGCCTCGGCAACAACAGCCGCATAGAAGCTGGCGTAGCTCCGTTGAGCAGCTCGGCCTCATTATGCTGCTGCTGGCTTTGATGTGGTTTGTGAGGCTCTACCTGCATTACTGCAGCCAGTGGCTCTACCTCCAGGCCATCGCAGTTCCTGTCAACAAGTGAGTTTGCTTCCTTTGATATCGCCTTGAACACACACACACACACACACACATGCACACATACATGCATGAGGGTTGAGGGAGTGTACACATGCACACACACACACACACACCGAGCACATCATCAACACTTATTGTGTACACACACACATAGTTGCTGACATAAATCCCTTTACATAGACGCTGATACCTTCGTAGATTACTGAGGCACATAGGCAAATTGCAGACATACACACTCACCTACACACCCCACAACAGGCACACAAATGCAAAGTAAGACTGTGGAGGTAGTAACAATGGAAGTGCAGTGTTTGAAAACGTGTGTGTTGGCAAAACATGCGCACGCACACCATATACGCCCAAATCATCTGCTTGGAATCCCCCCATTAACATTTTAACAAGACACACTCAATATTAACAAAGCATTGCTGGGGGAGTTTGTTGATTTCAGCACTTGGCTTAAGGTCCCAAAAGGCTACATTATTTGGAAGGAATTTATTGTTATTATTTGGTGCACAGCATTGATCATAAACAGCAATAAGATACCACAGAACTGTTAAATCTCATCTCAATAGCATATGGTGCTGATTTAACTCCGCACAATAAAACCTGCTGGCTGCAAACATGCACACGAGCAGGTTTTTATTACAATAACATAGGGGTTGCAAACATCACGCATTAAATCATGGAAACTGATCGAGAAAGGAGGGAGGGAAAAATGCGGCTGAATTTATTAGAAAAAAAAGAAAAGAAGAAGAATGGACTGAGGGGCTGAAGAGGAGGTGAAAAAAACAAAATGTGAAAACAGAGGGGGTCAACATCAGATGACAACTTCCACATGTCCGAATCGCCTGCTCTCCCTCCGAGCATTTCTCTCTCCACGCAGTGTCCAGAGCTGGTGGTGGCCAGAGAGAGCGAGAGAGAGAGAGAGAGCAAGAGAAAGAGAGAGAGACCTGGTGACATTCAGAGCGGTCAGTGTGGTGACATGCCTCCCTCCCTTCTTGTGTATATCTCACTTTCTCTCTCTCTCTCACTTGTTTCTTACATTATATAATTAATTGTGCATTTGCATGATCAGGTTTGCTTTATTACGATGAATTACAGGTGCATTACTGCTTTTTCTCAAATCTAATCCATCATATTAGAGCGTTTCTCATCAGAATATTAAAGCTGCTGTGAGCGACTTTTGGTTTGTGCAGATTTTGGCGCCCCCTGTAGGCAAAGATTGCTGATTTGGACCCTGGGACTGTGGAGCAGTGCTGAAGCCAGTTTGGGGTCAATGTTGGCGTGTTAATGCGAGAAAAAAATCAACCTCCAGCCTCCCCATCACCTTGGTACCCTAGTCTGATTTTGCGAAATTCAATCAGTGCAGTTTCAGTCAGACTAACATGTTTACGTGAATTTAAAAGTTCAGTTATAGCCTGAATAGTGCAATAAATATTTATTATTTGCTGGCTGTGAATTTTTGCAGATAAAAATGTGCAGAAAGGCAGTTTCTCCTGGTTTAGTCTGAGACCTACCAGTACTGCTGGTGTCAAAATACATGTTTTGTTTATTGAATTAGAAATTTTCATCACTCAGATTTAAAATAAATGAGTTATCCCTTTGGAGAAAGATAGAATTGTATATTTTTTGCAGAAAATAGAAGCCTACAGTGTAAGGAATGACATTATATCTACCTCAGACAAAGCACCGGTGGACCTCCACTGTCAGATTAATGGACAGAATCTGAGGGATGCTTTGACTCTTGGTGCAAATCAAATTGAAATTAATGAGCAAAAACTGGACCTCTCCTCTTCCACCACTGGCTCTACCTCCTCCTGACTGATGGGAAGATTAAGAAACTCATGAGGCTTGTGGTAAACAGAGAGCTTAACTTACTATAGGAGGCTGAAAAAAGTTTTCCATCGATATGCATCAACATGGGTGTAAATGTAGTTGCTGTCACGTATTAATTAAATCTTCAGCTTTGCTTTGCCTCCTTAAACACATACGGATTAGTTTTTTAAAGACATATATGAAAATGCATAGGCAACAAAACCACAAATTATTAAGTCAAATGTCATCAAACGAATTAAATATGATTAAATCAACCACATACAAGCTAACACTGTGTGTGAATTGCTGGAACTAGTTGCCCTCTAGCTGCTAGGCACCACAAACACAAATAAACCACACACACATTAACACACGCACATATGCACACACAAAGTGCACCAGCATACACATCACCAGCCTCTGTTTTCTTTCCCGCAAGATTCCAGTTTCACGCTCACACCGTGGACCTGGTGTACCAGGGTTCTCTGCTCCACACCCGCGAGGAGCTGGCGATGGTGGTGGTGGGTCCCCTGACCTTGAACGCAGTAACGTTCCTGCTGGTTCTGATCAGATGGGGCTGTCAACAGATATTTGGCTCACTCCCTTCCTTCACGTCAAAGTTTATCATGGCTCAGGGAGTGTGGACAGTCCTCGACCCCCTGGCAGTCTTTGCAGTGGACGCCATCCTCGGGGTAAGTCACTTAAAAATAACTTGGACACTTGTGCACTTTAAATAGGAGTTCACTTTATCTTGGCAAAGTGACTTTAGATTACAAAAAAAAAGAGGGGGAGGGGAGAGGGGGGAGAAAAAAAATGTGCAAGGTTAGATGGGTGTCGAAATTGGCAGTAAGACGGAAAGAAATGATCTGGACTATCAGCCAATGAATTTCTTGATAAGATGAATTCACTTATTCCCAAAAGGTAAATTTAAAACAAACTCACACCTGAATCTTTATTTTAATTATGACTGAAAAAAGATCAGCGATGTAGGACAGAGTGAGAGAAACACCAGCTGACCAGTATGTGACATGCAGTCCTAAAGCCATCATGTGATCTTCCTCTGATCAATCTGCTTCTTCAGCCAGAGACTCCCCATATTGCAAATGTCCAGTCTCATATGTCTGTCAGATCTGTCCTCTTTTCCCTTTAAAAAAAAAAAAAAAAAATCATTGTCTCCTCAGCGTCTCTCTTACAGTCCAGACACGCCGGTGGGTGACGCAGCCAAGTTGTACTGGCACTTCTATCGAGTTGACCAATCAGGTGCAGCCGGAGTGATCATCACTCTTTTTCTGTATGCGGTGCTGTCCCTGCTTTCCACCACCATCTTGTACATCTACCTGCTCAGGTGAGACAAACAAAAGGCGAACTGTGATTTTATCTTGCCATTGAGTACACACTTTACACTGCCTTCAAAATAAAAGCATCAACAAAAAGTGTAAAACAACCTGAATCCTTTCTATTCAGTTTAAAGCTGAATGTTGCAAAACAGCTCCAGTGTTTCCAAGAATTGAACTGACATATTCTGTGAGGACACGCTGTATAAGCAGAGGAAGACCCTTTTTTGAAACACTCAGACACTCACCAGCTTTCTATTCTCATGCACCCCCGTTCAGATATAACTCCACCGTCCACCCCCACAGCTGCACGCCATGTTCCACCCCATCCACTATTTCTTTGGCTCCTCTGTCCATAGAAAAGCACAAAAACCAACTGAAAATAAGAACAAATCTTGATCTAATCCTTTTTGATTTTATAGTCGCATGGGATTACTTATGCAGTTTCGCATCAACATCACACTTCCGCACGATCACATACGCACCGAGTTATCCGACACGAAAACAGAAACACGCACAGTTGCTGTTTTTGAACGCACCCCACTCTGCAGTTGGTTGGAATATGGAAAGCGTTTCTAATTCAAAAGTTAGATGTGTTTTGATATAGCGTGAACATATAACCCCCTTACATTATCCGATTAGGCTGAATGTTTTGCATGGTCGGTATCACTGCAGGTTTCATACATATTGAAATGGACTGCATATACATGGTGGCGAGCATCTTAATGCACTATGTGTTCCACTCATGTCTTGCAGATTGAGGTCACTCATGCTGAAACATCCTCTTGCTTGGCTTATATTATGTTTTAGCCTCCCAGACTGTTTTAACAAATCTTGAGGAAGCCTTTATGTTCTCTATAGAGCTGTTAAGAGCTTAAAGCATGATAACGGGGATGAGCAGGTAAAACAAAACGAGGACTGATCCCTAACTCTTCAGCTGAACCTAAAGTATATTGACACTGCAGTATATCTGTACACCTAAATGTCTCTAAATTCCAGTATAAGCTATTTTCTAATAGAGGAACCTTGTAGAAAAGCACATAAGTAGAAAGAGAGGGTCATAAATTACTAAATAATATAACTCTGTATTCAGTCAAGGTGTGTTCCCCCACCCTCGTATATGACCAAATTCCATTAACCGCTCAAAATGTAAGAAAACCCTTATTGAATTAATCAGTTTGAGATTGGCGGCCGAGGAGAGGGTGCCATCTCATTTCAGTAAGCGGGATGCTTATCGGGCTCCAGCTAAATGGACAATATTAAAACAGCAGCCGGGAATAATGACTTCTGCCACTCAGCCGCCATACGGGTTTGTATTGAATGTAGGCCACGAGGCTGAAGCAAGGCTGATAATTTTATGGGTTACAGTTTCCTATTGGCTGCAAGAAGGGGCTCTGACACAGAGCGTGACCTATTTCTAAAAAAAATGCCTCAGGCTATATGTATAGATAGAATGGACTGTTATCCTTTTTTAATTACATTTTAGGCAGCCTTTATTCACTGGCTGTAAAAATACACATCAGTGATGTATTTTACACCTTCACCCTCTTTGAAACTTCTTAAATACAAAAAAGAGTGGCGTGACACTGATAGGGGTCCAAACAATTACACTAAAAACTGGTTTAGTTTGAGTTTCAGAATAAGAGCATGTGTTTTTTATAAACCTGCACTATATTACATGCATTATATGTAACTCTAAATGAGTGGAAAGCCTCCCTTGGCTGCTGTGTTTCTACAAAAATCACTCTTTGGTTGACAACAGTGTTTTTTGATATTGTGAAACTGAACCTGGAGGCGTTTTACTTTGCATTACCACCTGCTCACTATACATAATCCTGCTTAACCATCTACCAACTACATGTAGAAGTTTACCAACAAGTTAGGTGTTGATCAAGATTTTATTTCAGTTAAATGTGGTTTATTGGTAAACTTAAAATTGAAATGAATCCCTCAGATTTGACAGTCAGAAGAACTTCCTTAACTGTTTTGTTACTGTCAGCCTGCTTTCAGTCAATTTAACATTTAACTTAACATTATTCTTAATATTAGTCTGCTGTTATGACTTAACATTTTCATTTTAGTGGTGAAGTTAAAACATTTTCTTGACAGATGCAGAAAATAAAAGCAGCAGTGTCTGTATAAGGGCTTCTTCCCCATAGCTTTAAAGTCTGTCAGCGTTTTCTTCTCACTCAACTAAGTCCTGTAATTCTGCCAAGGTCCACACCATGTTGTGATTTGTGCTTGATATCTCTTTTACATCCCTGCCTAGAATCTCTGCACTTTTCCTCCTCTCATCCTCAAATCTAACATTCAAATGAACTGAGAGAAATACTAAAAACATCGGCCACATTGTTAACCAGTGCATATTGTAATGAGGAAGAGTTGAAATCATGAATATAATACATTGATTGATTAGATATGATGTGTGTGATGGTTGTCTCTGGTGTTACTCTTGCCATTCAGAATAATTCCTGGTGTTACAGGGTTTTAGCCAATCAGAATCAAGTATTTTAATACAGCTGAATCATAAAGGAAGCTTATTAAGTGATAACACAAAGTGAACTCACTCCAACACAAGAATACTCATTCCATTTTATGCACTGCTGTAATGATGTAATGGATATGCTAAAATATTTGGTTCTATAAACTGTATCTATAAGTTTACAATGTCCTTAAGGACACCACTATACTGACTCAGAGCTGATGAGATCCTTCATCATCTAGGTCAAACCCAGATATAAGTAACACATAGGCAACTTACATTCAGGGCACTTTCAGCACTGAGACTGGGGACTGTTTTGATGCCAAAGATACAAAGATGTTGAATTTCTCCAAGAGAGAGACGGCATAAATGAATGAGAAGCACAATTCAAGTGTAGGATGAAAATGAATGCATGCTATTCCTGTGTCTGAGGTCAAGATTCTACAAACATCCCTCTCCCAAGAGCGATGAGGAATGATGCTGGGTTCAAAGCTCCACACTAGCGTCTTGTATAAATCCCGGCCTCCTTGATGTTGGTTTTATTTGAGAGTTGATTACCCTCTGACAGGCTAGAATCTCTATGGAAGGGCACAAGGTCTGCTGGTTTTGATGGTCAGCCAAGGCATTTGTTTACAGACATGGTGATTCTTTTTAGGGGTTGGCTGCGTGCACCCTTGTGTGGCAAAGGAAAAATAACACTTTGGTGATGCGCGCTCATCTGGAGGTATGAATCGATACGCCTTTTGCTGTGCAGAACATTTGCTTGTGACTCAGGCCCGTCTCTCCAGACACATCTGCAACCAGCACGTCCGTTGCATCTGCCATCTTTGAAGCTCAGCATTAACACTGAAGAGGATCCCAGGATCTGACTCCCACACATTAACAGATGTACAACCACGCAGACACACAGCCAAACACAGACAGCTCTACAGTCAGCTTGTGTTAACAAAGTGCTTCCCACTCACAGGCCAATTTGTTTGATTTCTTTTTGCTCTTTCATTGTGTTGGATTTGATGTATTATATATTTATAGAGTGTTACTCTGCAAACACGCTTTGTGTAATCAATAAAAGATTCATATGATCTTCTGGCAAGTTCGGATTATTATCTTTTGACCTGTTCCACGAAAGACAGCCAATGTGAGAGCAGAAAACCGGACGTGCTGTTGTTTTGCACCACAGTAGTGTCTAGTTTTTCACAATCTCGACCCCTGATCTGACCCCAATTTGACCCTGTGTGATCTTTAATGGACTACCAAAGTGATGTGGCATAACTCTCGCATGCTTCCTCCCAGATTCCACAACAATGGCCGCATGCTGGACGTCTTTCAGCGGCTCACAGCTAAAGAAGGGACGTACTTCCTGCCCGAAGACCTGGAGCTGTCAAACCAGGAGCTGAGCTACATTGTGAAGAAAGCCGAGCAGTGGAGAGGCTTTAATGGGGAGAGGCGTAAGGTAGGCAACACACTGCAGCCTCCATGTCTCTCAAGACAACGGTCTTCTCCTCAAAGCCTCAGTGATTAATTGGGCTAATGGATGTTTTCTTAACGAGACAATGAGTCAAAAGGTCACAAATGCTAATCTGTTGGATTGTGAGTGTATAAATGGAGAATTACAGTTTGTTGTCTGCAACCCCCTGGAGGGATTTTCCTTGTTGCAGCACTGGAGAAAAAAACAGGCTGGAAAGGATGACTGTGTTACCCAGAGGAACATTTTTTGGCAGCCAGGATAGCATCCCACTCGCAATCATTTGGTCACTCTAATAAAGATATTCTGCTCCAAAAGGTATATAGAATAGGCTTATTTTATGTCATTACATTTTCTTTAGTTACATCTCAGAAAGCTGAGAATTCATCTCAGAGGTCTTTAGCTTCATTCTAATTAGTACAAGATAATTACCAAAACAGAACCCCGGCTAGCGGGCTGCCTGATTAGTCTGTGGAAACCAATTTCCAAAGATATTTCATTAAAGAACGACTGCTCAATCAACACACACGCTGAGGTGCATATGCTTGTGCTACACTGGCCATTCTCTTTATGTGGACAACTTAGTGTCATGGGAAATGCATAGTTCCAGTTTGCATAAATCGATGTTCTCAGAAATTGCAATTGCTTTGAAATATACTGGTGCGTGTTTGACAGCCCAGCGCAGGTCGATGGTGATGACACAGGGAGGGCAGTGTATTAGCACCGAGCCGACACCCGGATGCAGAAATCTTTGCATAGTGATTGAAAATGTGACTTGTGGAGATAAGGGAAATGGAACATAGCGATCAAACGGCGGTCCCCTTTAATTTATTTTGTCGAATTTGTTAGTGGCACACATCGCTCTGTGTTCTGCGTGTTCATTAACTTCCCTGCTCTTTGCTTGCGAGAGTTCATGTGGCTGTAAAAAGGCAAAATGGAAACAGAAACTAAAGTTGGCTATCAGACTTTGATGAAATGTGGATGGGCTGTTGTGGGAGTGATTCTCATGGGGGTTAAAAACAGACCTGATCAACATGTGTTTGTGAGGGTCAAAGTGGATAATTTCTGTAATCTTTACTAAGAAACTGGAGATTATTGTTTCTCCTGATTGAGAGGATAAGCCCCTGAAATAGACAATAGAAGTTCTTTATTTTCTTCAGTCTGCGAAAAGGGCAAATTCATTAAATCCAGCAAAATAAGGTGTTTTTAGTGCATTACTTACCGCGCGTTAAACAGCTGTTTTCCTGAATGTCCATCTCTTCTCTCCATGTCTTGTAAGCTTTAATGAAGTGCAGCCCTGGCTCTGAGAGGTGACTACACTGCTGCTAATGGAATGGTGATGGTCCTGTTTATTGGGAGAAAATTGAACCTCCCAATGTTTGGAGACTTTGAAAGAAATTAAAGCCCCAAAGTTTGTGATTAAGAAAATGCTTCATTTAGCTGCTGATGGCCTCTTGCTGTGGTGGCTCTGCTAAATCATCCTCGCATTACTGCATATCCCCCTCCATGGCGACAATTACAGCGTACTTCATATTGTCCCTAATTTTGCGTTATTAAACTGATAAAACGCTAACACGTTAACACATTTTCCTGCATGATGGAAATTTAGGGTTATTGCATTTTATGATTTTTACATTATTCAGTCCGACCATTTTTCATCCAAATAAGATGGGCTTTGCCACTATTTCATAATTATTGGAACAATTTCCACCGTGAAAAGGGTCACTTTCCCACCTCAGCAAAGACATATCCCTATTAGACTAATTTGCCTACATGTAAATTTTGTCACTTTTCCCTCATTAACTATTTATCATCGACAGGAAAAAAAAATATTCATGAAGCCGAGCAAAGGAGCAGCCAGACAGAGCTGAAACTAATATTTTGCAACTCTAATGATTTTTTGCATCCTTAATTAGATAGAATAAGGTTGATATGATTAGGTCAGGATGTAGTGTTTTTCATTAAAAATACATTTCAGAAACTGTATTCCAAATGTGCCCTTGCAATTAAATAATGAATCCGACGCATTCCTTATTACGGACCCAATTAATATCAGAGGCAAGGGCGTAATTTTAATAACAGTGGGCCACGAGGCCTTCATTAGCGGAGTGAGAGAAAGGAGGGATGAGGGGAAGGAAAACAAGGCACACACAGGAACAGCAGCAGCCTGATATTGAGCCAATTTCACAAAGTTATTGAACAGCACTCTCTTAAAAGGATAAAGTATGACATTTCAACAAATCAGATCTGGGGCAGGCAGGAACTGAGAATAGCTCTTGTTTGTTTAACCCTAATTTGAGTCGAACATCAAATGCAAGACAGGGAAACTGAAAATAGAAAATCATTAAGAGAGAGACAAATAAATGTCCTTTAAGGTTATTTCAATACTCAGGGTAGATTGAATGATTCAGTTAGAGCGTCTTAACCGGTGGAGGCAAGTGGACAGATTTTACTTTGCTTAATCAGCTCAGACACTTGATGCCAAGATAGCGGTGCTGCATTGACCATCATAGGAAAACATGTTTGACATTATTTTTATGCGTGACCCCTGAAATGTGAAATGACAGACGTAATGGCCTTTTTCTGTCTTACCTGTGTGTGAGGCAGCAGGTGAACGTTTCGTACTCAGGTGGTCAAAGGTAAAGATGTGATGACTTTGACGAGGAACAAATTGAGAGATTAAGACAGCATGGTCAGCTTGCTTTCTGTCAGCTGTTACCAAAGATGTCCAAGGGATGGAATCAAGTTTAAACTGGGCAGCCAAGGCCCAGTGATGTGCATGTGGAGCAAAGATTGACAGAAAATGAAAGAAAATGGGCCCCAGGATAGAGCCTTGGGGAACACCACGTGAAATTTTTGTCTGCTAAGAAGGGGAGTAGTCTCGCCACAAAGTGGTCTCTGTCTACTTGATAAGAATAAAACCAGTTGAGTACTGTGTCAGGAGGTCCCATCCAGTTCTCCAGCCTGTTAAGTATGGGCTACTGGGTCAAATAAGGCAGTGAGATTCGATTAAAGTTCTACCACTGTCAGATGTCATTAAACACCGTAAACAGGGCAGTCTCATTGAAGAATGAAGAATAAGTAGAAATTTACTTTTGTGTAGCCTGCTTTTACAGTTTTTAGGAGATTCTGGCATTTAGGTTTTAATATCTGGGATTTATTATTTCTATAAGCAAATTTAAGGAAAACAGAAATCAGATGAATCCCGATCAGGACTGCTTTGACTTCCAACTGAAAAGAAGGTGGCCTACATTAGAGTGGGGATCAAAATGTTGCACCCAATCAGTGTACATATAACATCCGGGACTTCTTAATGTCATGTGCATAATCTGAGTATAAAACACACATTAACAAAAAAATGGCAAAAGCTTATATACTAGGTTTGTTGTGTTGTAACCTACAGGTGTCAAATTCAGCAAAAATCTGTCCAATGCCGTGTCTCCCTCCAGCACTGAAACAATAAAAAGAATTCACATCCAATAACCAACCTGCTAATGGCCTATTATTATCTGACTTGTAATTTTCAGAAGGCAGTCATAAAATGTAATCTAATTTTCACTTTCTGACCAATTAACTTTATATTATGGAGCCGTGACATATGATTGTTTTAGTCACTTTCAGCTTTAAATATCCCTCGCAGTATTACCTGCAGGTCAAGATGTCAGCTGTAGAGCCTAGCAAGAGTGTAAAAAGGGTGAAAGAGTTCAGAGTTTAAATTCTTTCAGACTAGACTCATATTTTTATCTCAAACTTGTTCACATCCAGTGTACATGCTGTTTCTTTATTTGTGTTTAGCATGGTGGCTAACAAAACTCGTCGAATATGACAACCGGGTTCCAATATATTAGGATATGAACAGCAGTTTCCACTTTATAATCGTGTTTAAAGTAAAACTTGTTTAAAATAAAACAAAACTCCATAAAATCCCAACTTTCCGAGTGTTTTTAGTGCCATCACGCTTGGAGCACTGAAAACATGCTACACATCCTGCCAGTGGTTGGGTAATGAGCTCCATTAATTATGTAAAGGCAGTGATGCAGATGGACCTAATTAATTGTCTCCCGTCACCCCCTTGATTACTGTACCTGGAAGGGAGGTGTTAATTTCTGTAATACTTAAGCAGGTATGCAAACTGTTTTGTCAGAGCCTCCGCCATGACAATGACAGAGTAGAGCGCTGGCTAACTCGCTGCAATGCTCTTTTCCTGTTAATTCACCCAAAGGAAACTTTCCCAGTGGTGGTGGTGGTGGTGACATTGTGATAATTGAGGGAGAGAGGGAGAGATTAAAAGAAGTGGGGAAGTGTGAGGGGAGGGGGAGAAAGGGGGTTTGCGCGGTGGCCCTGGAGATGTTTTCGCAACTTGATTGCATCAACATTTGCGTACCTTCGTGCCGTTTGTCTCCGTATGTCTAGGTAATGGGTTTCCAGCGGGCAAGTTTGGGAACACCCAAGGTGCTTTGCAACAGCAGCGTGGTTGGTGGGGAGTAAACCTGTTGAGAGTCAAGCAGCACAGATTGGATGGTAATGATAACCCGAGTCTGCAAGGCTGGCTGTTAATCATAGACGATGTGTTCTCAGTGTTAACCTACAGCAGTGACATGATTGTACCACCTGACTGAAGAAAATACCGGGTTTACTTTTTTCCCACCAATAATCCTGTGACACATAAGAAAATTTGTATTCATAATCTCATTGCGCAACTTAATTCAGAAATATTCAATATTGCCTTGACGTTCAAAATAAATCACCGAGCGATGGGATTCTGCTTCGGATATTTACAGAAAAGACCTGAAAAAATCGGATGTAGGAAAACACCACTTTTCAACCTTAATAGTGCTAAAATTGAATTTTCAATATAAAAAATGGACTCCAATTGCAGGAAAATGTAATTTCCGTTAATTCAGGGGTAAACTATTAGCACTTCACCTGTTTTATTCAATTTGCCAAACCTGTTTGCGGTTCAGATAATGCAGTCAAGTGAACGTGAGGCCACCTGAGACGAAAATCTAAACTCAAGTTAAGGAAGAAGAAGCTTTTGTGGAAAGAAAGGCAGACAGAGGGGGTAGTAAGGCATGACAGGATACACAGGAACTGCTGTCACCCAACAATAGGACCCTCAGCTCCTGAACAGGAACCCAAAACAGCAACACAGGAACACTGGGGAGATGCGAGGAAGAGCTGAGTGCTTCAGTGGTGCAGGTGAGGATGTCTGGAGTCAGAGGGCAGCTATTGGTCTATAGTGTGTGACAGTGTGGGGTCACCAGAGTCCTCCCAACCCCCCAGTAACCTCCACTAAAAGGCAGAGTGGTCAGTGTGCATGTGGGCGTTTGCCTGTGTACAGTTTATCTGTGCATGTGTAAGTGTGACTTCATGCTCACGAACCTTCCTGTGCACTCATATGTGCATGTCACATTAGAGTGGCTTCTTCAATTACAGCAGATGAGGTTTTTCTTTTTCTTTTTTTTTTTTTAGTGGACAGCACTGAGGGCCCCAACTGCCCCCGGGCGATAGCGAGCAGGCAGGCAGGCAGGCAAGGACAGGAGCGATGTAGCAGCAAGCACAGCTTTCACAGTCAGAGCATTAGGGAGCTCAATATGAGATATGACTGCAAAAGCTACATGCCTGTGTTCCTGAAAAGGTCACGGACTTTGCTGGGCTGCAATGTGTGAAAGCGGTGCTCAGTGGGTAAGAAAGAAGAACCTAAAAAAAAAAAGGGGAAAAACAGATAAAGATCAAACTGAAGAACTCTCTCACCTCTCGGTTTAGACATACAAGATTTCATCAACAAATCCAAATGCATCAATGCAAACCAACCAACACTATTGAAGTAAAAGACTGAATGTTAACTCAAAGAAGACACCGTAATGTTTATATATATATTTATATGAGAAGACAGAACAACTGTCAGCGCAACTAGGCTCAAGAAAAACATGCTGTAGACTATTTCATGGCCACATTAAATAAGGTAAAGTGTTCTCTGTTAGTACATCCCAGCACCTTTTCAGGTAACAATGTTCATCATGAAAGTCTCCCATCTCTCTTTCTATGTCAATTTTCTTGGCCTACACAGCTAGTTTTGCTCAAGGTAGGGCTGGGCCTTGAACCGAATATTTACAGATAACCAAATTTACGACAATAATCGACGTCATTTTGCGCATATTGGTATAGTCAGTGTTAAAAAAAATGAATAAATAAAAGTTGGTTTTGGATGTGTGTAGGTAGGCTATGGTCTCATGTCCCTTTGAGATGCTGTCCTACGTCAGAGACGTGACTCCACCCCATCCAGTCTGTAACAAAGAGGGAAAGACAGGTGAGGAGATGGAGGATGGTTCAAAGTTGTAGCGGCTGCAGCGGCGGCTCAAGTAGGGGAAGTTAATGTGAGAGGGGGTCAGCAGCTTATGGAGCTGTTGTTGCCGTTATTTAGGTGAACTGCTCAATATATCGTGATATTGATTTGAGGCCATATCGCCCAGCCATAGTTCAAGGTTTCTGCCTGTGAGACGGTTGTTATTGCCAGTATTACCCTTGTTTTGCCTGTTTTTCAATTGACCAATATATGATAGCTTTGATTTGCTCCAACCCCTCTGTGGTGACTAATGTACAATTCATGAAATCCATCACATCTCGTATTTGGACCTCACTTAGTCTGTTAAGAGATTTTACAAGAAAAATAAGTCTACAAAAAGTGTGATTATCTCATACAGAGAGCTTTATTTCTTGATATTGAATGTCACTCCAATCAGCCGATTCTTGTCTTCGAACAAAGTCAGAAACCTCAGCTTCACAAGGTTTCCTCTCAGACACTCGACTATCTCATACCCAGAGTTCCTGCAGTAGACAGAAGGAGAAAAGAGAAAGTGTTCCAGTATGAACTTGTCGGTGTGAACAGTTTAATTACAGGGAGTGTCAGCCGCATTGCTTAATGTGTCCCTCACAATTAATCCAAGGAGAGGATGTCATTATCTACCAAAGCCCGGGCCTGGGCAGCTTCTCCGTCGGAGTAAAGAGGGTGAGATGAAAAAATGAAGGAAGCGCCTAAACTTTGAGTTGACCTTTGTGTCACACAGATGGATCAAGCTAAGACTTTTGGTGATTACTGTGCTCTTCAGATGTCTCGGACACTTGCCTGCTATGACACCATCAATGAGGAAGAGATTTATCCTTTAATTTCTTCATAATATGAAGCTTTGCCTGTCAGCTGTCAAAATAAGTCCAGCTGGAAGAAATTAGACCGACTATGAAACCTGGAGTCTCTCTACCATTATTCTCCTTCTTCTTCCACCATCCAAGGGACTTAGATGTCATAGCCTTGTGTTTCCATCCCACAAAAACAAACAAAAAGATACAAATTGTGACACCGAAGAGCGAGGATAGATCATGCAGGTTTTCTTTAAGTGCCAAACAAAAATTAAGAGGAAGGATTTTGGTGGAAGTTTCCAGATGTTTCCCCGACCTGACCACCTGGCGAAGCTCCGTCCTATGAGCTGAATTTTAACCAAAAAGTTTGAGTGACAGATGCTTTATGTTTAGGCCGCGAGGATGGGAGCTGGTGGCAACAGAAGTTCATTATGCCAGCTGAGGAAATGCTGCGAGTCTTTCACCACATATGGAAGTGTTTTCTGCGCACACACAGAGGCGATATTTGAAATCACAGCAAACATGCACCAAACATACAAAGATGCACATTCAGCCCCTGTCTCCTCAGAGGTTTTCCTACTTAAACTTGACAGATCTGATTCTTTCTGACTGTCCGTCGTTAGTCACTTCTTCCCCCCCTTTCTCCCTTCTTTTCCTTTAAAGAGTTTGACCTTGGCTGCTTCCCGCGGCCCGGAGGGGATGAGGAAGGTCTGGTGATCTTGACAGGTGTCGCGTCTTAACAGCCCCACATGACATCCTGAGGAGAGATAGACATTTGGATTTTTTTTTTTTTTTTCTTCATAAGGGCTTCACTTATAACCTTAAAGAGACAGGGGGTGTGTTCATATATGTGTGTGTGTGCACATGTACAGTACCTATGTCAGGGGGAATGTGTGTGTGTGTGAGTCTCACCACTCATTCCAAGCTCCCATTTCGATTATTGGCTTGGATACTTATCACCTCCAGCCTCCGAGGCCTGATTAGGTTGAAGCTACTCCAAAGTCAAATTTTGGATATCAAAGGCAACACTCAACTTTGGCATCTGTCTGCAGCATCTTAATACCGAGCCGGGGCCCCTGACATGTTGAGAATTGAGCGCAAGGCCTGAAAATATGTGATCTGAACGGTTAAAGTCAGAGAGATGTTTTCACGTATCACCTGAGGGAGGCCAGACATACAGACCTACAAATGTTTAAATTGTTTTTTATAAGAAATTGCAGCATGATCACCTGTCTTAAACTTTTCCTGCAAGCTCTAATCTTTTACATTTCATTTACACAGATTTAAGGTTAAAAACGTGCAAGTTGAGGTTTTTAAAGTCCCACATTTTTTCAAGTACTTTAATTGTTATCAGTGGTCTTAATTGTGATTATGAAGTTTTTCGCCAAAATCACCTTACTTGTGTCATTTTCAAGGATTTTTCTTCTGCAGGGCTCCAGTAGCTCATTAGCAATTTGCCTCTGAATCATGGGCGGAGACAGCGCGGCTCTACACACTCGTCTTCACGTTAGCTTGCAGCCTAACATTGCTTGTGCAGCACAAGTGGCAGGTAACATAGAAGCTATTCAGCTCTTAGACACTGATGTTTTTAGGGACATGACGAAAGTTAATATCCTAACTAGCTTTCTTACGCTTTTCCCGTGATCATCCATTCTACTTATCAGAGTGTGGCTTGCATAGCGGGGCCCAGGGGGCGGAGCTTGGATTTGCTACGTAGGAAATCTCATTGTTTCTGAACCTGCCGTTTGGGGCTGCTAGAGGTTCACAGCGATTTGAAAGCAGAAAGACTTAGAAATGCATTTCGCACTTATTTTTCTCATGATAACATCAGAGAAATGCCATATGAACATGTAGACAACAAGAAAAACACAATTTTCATTAGTGGGTCTTTAATTCATTGCGTAAACTCCTAAATCACCTTCATGTATGATCCCTGGCATAAAAGAACTGTAAGTGCAGGTCATTATTAGGCATGAAAATATAAAACACACACCATTTTCTGTGTTAAGTTTCTTGTAAACTTAAATTGCTTCAGAATGAACCATAGACGTGATCTCTTTAGGGCCCAGAAAGAGTCAGGAATGGTGCAAATAAAAGATGGGATATCTGAGTTGTTTACTGTAGGCTTGGGGTAACCTTTATTTTCTGCAAAGGAGATTAGTAACAGTGAATTATGCATATCTTATTTTATGGATTATCTCAGGCACTCAGAGATACTATCTCACTGGATAATCTCTTTTTAAAGCTCTTCAGTTTATTCTGAATGTAAATATAGTCTTTGTTGCTTGTTTATCTTTTCTCGAAGTCAAATTCGCTCAGTGCTACTTTCGGCTCGGGTGTGTTATTGCACTTAAACTTCAAGTCGAAATATTTATAGTCTGTGATTTTTGCTTTATAACCACAGTAATGAGAGGAGAGTGGAGGGAAAGCCACTGTAGCGCACTAGCTGTTTTATCACTCACCATGTGTGTGTATGTGTGTGTGTGTGTGTGTGTGTGTGTGTTCCTGCATGCAATATGAATGGGTGGCCTGTCTTGACCAGTGGTGCGTTTAACCAGACACAGACCTTTGCTTCAGCCAAACCAGGCCCAATGTAGACCGTGTTCATCCATGCCATTTTCAAGCTGCTCCAATTATATCTGCTGACCGTCTGCATATTGGCCAAATTTACAATAATAGCATATCTATTTCCATCCTAATGGCTGACATTGCTTGGCTTATCCATGCATGTATGTCGGTGGTCTTTATGCTTCATGGTTTGGTCTGTTCCCAGCCATGTGCAATGTGCTGTAGCCTGTCTTGGCCTTGCATCTGTATACGCTGCATCAGGCCAGTGTGTATATGTTTATGTCTGAGCGTGCATATGTGTGCATTCGTGTATCTATGAATGAGCATGTGCATTCGTGCAGTCTGACCTCTATAGCTTGCTCATTTGTACTCCGTATATGTGCCTGTTATTCAAAATTTGTGAATGTGTGAACCCTTGTGCATGTGTCTGTGAGCTTGTGTTGGCATAAGTGTGAGTGTGTGTGTGTGTGTGTGTGTGTGCCTACATACAGTCTGTGTCTGCAGTACATACCAAGTGCTCAGCAAACAGGCCTTGAGCCCGGGCCAGCTCTGACAGACAGGGTGGTGGAGGAGGTGGTGGTGGTGGAGTGGAGGGATTGACCCTCTATAGCTCAGAGAGCCTCTGCACAGTGCCCCCCCCACCTCCCTCCCACCCCCCACCTTACCCATCTCCCCACAACCCTCCCCTCCCCTCCCTCCCCCCACTCCCTGCTGCCTAGCCCCAAGCGCCCGCAGGCACTGGAGATGCACGCATGCGTTGCCTCGCTGTGTGAGGCTTTGTCTGTTTGTGAGCAAGGATGTGTGTGTGTGTGTGTGTGTGTGTGTGTAAGCATGTAGATGAGTGTTAGTGTGTATGCGTGTGTGGATGAGAATCTGTGGACAAAAGATTCAACCATGTCTACCTCTTCTCTCACTTGGCAATAATCATTGATGCTCCTTTCTGCTCGATATGCGCTTGTGTGCTCGTTGTGTTTTCATGTTATGACTGCCCTTTTGTTCCCAAATGTGCATTCAAATCATTGTCAAATACACAAACTTAATGACATAACAGCATTACTAAAAATACACGAAAGAGACAATTAAATCAATATTTTCTCTAGGACACAGCTTTGATACAATAGTAGAAGTTATAGTGATTAAATCGTTCTTGTTTAAGATAGTAATACCACCTTAGAGTTGGTGAATGATGGTAAAGAGTCCGATAAAATGATCAAAATAAGACTTGATATTCCCTTAATAACATAAATCAAACATAAATTTTCAAAACTAGCTCCTCAGACCTGTATTCTTTATTCTCCTGTTCTCATACTTAAAAAAATAAAGCCCCCTGAAGGAGTTAGTATACTATTTGTTCTTATCATCAGCCCTCCTAAATGCATGCATACTTCAGTCCTCACACCCAGATCCATTACAGCTCAATGGAGCTGGGTTTTCTAAGTGCTAAATCCTGCCACTGCCCCCATTTGTAGTACCTGGTCCAGAACCAGCATCGGCCAATTTCCTCCCAAGTCAAAACCCACAAACCTACATAGAGCTCCAATCTCAGTCCCAACCATAGTCCCAGCCACAGCCGGGGCTTCCATGTGCGACTGACACATAAATAACCAAGCCTGTCCGCCACCCAGGCAAATTCAAATGCACCTGTCAAAGTGATGAAGCACCCGCCCGCAGGGAAGCATTGTTTACATTTTCACTCCACTCTTCACAAAAGTGAGATTCTAATTATTTTTCCCACTGTAAATTAAAGCCAAGTGGGACAGAACTACGAACCAAAATGATCATGGCGGTGGCAGGAGGGAAAGCCCAGCCCTCCCATGTATGCGCTACGTCGGGTAAAAGGTGTGAAATGTCTGAAGGAGAGTGAGTGGGTGAGATGTGGGGAAGGTCAGCGGCTTTTGTCTTCAAAGAGGGGGAAGACAGCGAGAGACAGAGGATGAAGAAAACAGAGGTATAGCATTCACACAAGTCTACTTATGTGGTCATTACAGGCGGGGTCCAGAGAACTTCAACCAAGTGGAATACATCATTCCCCCACATATCATACATAATAGTGTGCCAATAATGTGCTGCATTATTTTTCATATCAATAGACCGAGGTAGAAAAACAAAGACACAGAGAGAAAGTGATGAAGTGGGTTGAATCAATCCAGAGGAACATGCAAATGGAAGGTAAAATTAAAGACCCGTGAGGAGGGAGAGCATGAATGGTAATGATGGCTATCTTAGTTCGGATCAATCATTAAAGGTTGAGAGGGACTGACAGGCCGACTCGTGTCCGCGCCTTAGGCTCCTGTGCTGGACAGTCGCCACCCTGGCTCAGTCTGCCTGTCCACTGAGACCTCTCTGTCTCTCCTGCTTTCAGCTCCAACATAAAGATGCACATGCGTATACATCTGTACCCTTTTATATGTCATACACAAATTGAAACAGGTCAGTGAACTTAGGAGGACACTCTCGGGAGGATTTAAGGAATTCTGTGAGGGAATTATGGCAGTAAAACTGAGAGTATAATAGAAGTCAGAGAAAGAGAGAGCAAAGGTAGAATAAGTACTTAAAACAGAATAAAAAGTGTGAGTTTTGGTCTTCTTTCAAGATGAGTTTTGGTGACCAAACATGAATCTGATTTGAGTTGAAGTTGATCGCCTAATACCTGCATCTGTTTCCCACTAAACTACTCACTGTATGAAATGACAGTGTGGGACTTTTTGGAAATGAGACACTTTTATAGGCAATTAATTCAGACTGATCCTTTAGGGGTGTGTGGAGATTTAAATGAATGAGTGAAAGAAGGAAGGAAGAAGGGAGAGAAGAAGGAGAGGAGAGAGGAAAGGGAAATTTTTTAAAAAAGAAATAAAGAAAAAGGAATAGATGGAAGGAAAGAAATGGAGAGTGAGGAAGAGAGGAATAGGATTGAAGACAAAGGAAAAAAGGAGGGAAGAAAGAAGAAATAGTAAGGAAGCAAGGAAGGAAGACAAAGGAAAAAAGAGAAATAAAGAAAGAAGGTAAGGAAGGATGTATGATGGAAGAATGGAAGGAAAGAAGAGGGAAGAAAGAGAGAGTAAGGAAGAAGAAAAGAAAAAGAAAGGAGGGAAGGAAGTGAGGAAGAAAACAGGAAGTAGGAGAGAATGAACAAACGAATAAAAACAAGACAGTAAAACAGAAAGAAGGAGGGAAGGAAATATAATGGCAAGAAGTGGGGATTTATTTATGTATTTATTTATGTTAAACCACTAGTTTTTTTTAAGAAGTTCATGTCCAGGAAATGCTCGGGTTGTCTTTGGGGACATATAATTTGAAGCTAAGCGGAAATGTCATTATTTAATTACGGTCAACTCCAGACACAATCTTCATGAAGGCCATGTGACAAAAGCGAAGAAAACGTCAAACAGGGATATCTTTGACAGTCAAGGGCATGTGAGATAAATGAATAAAATACACTTTTCCAGGAACAGCTATTGCAAAGGCAGTCTGTCAACAAATCAAAATTAATTCTCTGGAAATCATCTATCCTCATTTTAGCTCTGTAGTTCTGTTCAAATCTGAATCTGGGCATGGATATGGGTCATTTTTGAAATCTCCTTTTTAGAAATAAATTCATCTTTTAGGCAGTGATGCTTTTTTTTTTCCCCCCGACACAAACTCACAAAACATCTCTGGAATTCCAAATCCATCTTTTGACAGACTTTATACTTGCACACACTTGAATAAAAGTGATTGATAGACTAGTCAAATTTTGTCACAAGTCACAGTGAATTTCTCTTAAAGAAAGGCTTTCCACAGGCATCTGTATTTAAGTACTCTCTGCTTTTATTATGCATTCAGACGCAATATGGTGTGTTTGGGTTGGTGTGAAATCGCATCTTCTCCTAGAAAGACAGACAGACTATATTTGTGAACCATGGAGCCACGTCCCTGCAGCTGTGCCATCCCCACTTCCTGTGCCTGGTCCCTCCTTCCCATTCTCTGTGTGCATTTGCGGTAATGTCTACAAATCCTCAAATTTATGTCCCTGCTGGAAAACATGGTTTGCTGTTTATAGTCGTCCGCTAAAAGAAATAAGGCCCGTCTCTCCTGATGCTAGTCAAGAGACTGATGCAGACTCTATCAGATTTCTAAATACAGACCCCGACAATAAATCCTGGCCTGATTGGGTTTGAATTGGGTTAGCTCACTTGAATGCTATCTGCTTAACCCACAGCTGGCCTGTCTGCTCCATGCAGGCATTGAACCTAAATCAGTCACTTAGTGCTATCAAATGGAACAATGGTGGAGTGGAGAGAGCACTCACACGAGGGCTAGGAGCCAGGCTAGCATCATAACGCAACACAACAGACCAGAACAGAGTAGTGTGGAGCAGACAGGCCCCTTAATGCTCGTTCCTTTTTGTGTCTCAGCAATGATGCATCCTGAGAGCCATGGTGCATTGCATGAAATGGCATCACCCAAACCAAACACACAAACACCTTTTCAAGCTTTTGTCTGGTCTTGTCAAGTGGATTTCACGTGCTAATTAGCGTAGGATGGTGGCATGGCTAACATCAAAAAAATCTATTTTCATGCAAGCCAAAATACATACACATGCACACCGCACAAGGGGATTTAAGCAGGTGCGTTTAACTAAAGTGACTTAGAGTACAGAGGAATGAAAGCAGGGTGTTTCTATCACCACTGTACAGCTTGGTTCATACAATCCAGGATTGAGGCCTTCACCGGGTCACAGGCACACTTCTGTGACCAGTACAGCAGGAGAGGTGTTTTCTTAATCATGTTTTATCCCACATTTGTGACTTAGGATGTGTTTTTAAGAAGAAAACATTAAGAATTCTCTGATTTTCGTTACACTTCCACCTTTGTGGCCCTTAAAAAGAAAAAAAGAGCAGCACATCATCATACCCACACTATCCAAACAGACTGATTGCTGCCTCGCTGAGGTGCTGATTACTTAAGGAATTCAGGTAATCACTTTCCCCCAGTGTGGGCCGAGGCCAAGCTGGAGGCAAGGCGCAGTTGAGGCGATTTCGCTAATGAGCGTCTTAATTAGCGTTGAAGAGATGCATCCCTGCGTCCCCACATCCACAACACACACCTTCTCTTGATGTACCCCCGCTACTCTTCCTTTTATTCGCGTTTGTGACTCTTTGACATTTCCACAGCGAGGTCCCTCCTCCTCCTCACAAGGGTCCCGGTTTTATGCAGCGTCCCTAATTATTAGGAGGGTAATGGCTCCCGCTGTTTTCACGTTGGAGTGCCTTGAGTTGTGTTTGGCTAAGCGTTTGTTAAGTGCGGGGTGACATCGATACACCGCCAAATTAAAGCTCTCCTTCAGCTTGACCCTGCCACTCATGGTCCGCTGAATGAGTTTGCCTTTTTTTTTCTCTCTCTCTCTCTTTCTGTGTTTTTAAATGAATCATAATTACGCAGCCAATTAGGGAGTCACCTTGAGTTTTTGAAACTGCTTGATAAACTTCCTCTTCAGTGCGCTGGTTTGGACAGATTTGGGAAAACAGTCCTGTAGTTTCACTTTTTCTCTCAGTAACTATGAACACAATCTTTACATGAGTTTATAGATATAAATAGACTTCTTTGCCTTTTAGTTAACATCACACATAAGATCTCCCATGATGCTTGGATCAGCACACACTCACCAGCAGACACTATCAGAAAGAGAGGGAGCCTCCATGATCTTCACACATGGATGACTTCGAGTTACATGACCTATATAACATGTTACACGCTTCGCTCGCTCCACGTGTCTCATCCTAATACAGAGGGGCAGTACATTACAGGTGTGTGAGCCCCCCCAATCTCACACGCACACACACACACACATGCTCACAAAGAGTCACAAACAGGCCTGGCGCTAGGATTATACATATGTATGCATGATCACAAACACAACCTGTCTCTTTACCTGCCGCAGATCAGGCCCCACAGGACTCCTGCACTGCGAGGAATTAGCGTGCTGATGTACTGTACGCCTTTGGTGCTTATCTGCCGGCTGCAGTTGTATGCAATTAAAATAAAAATCTCACGTTTTAGGAGCTGAGGTTTGGATTGATTTTAAATGAGGTGCATGAGGTTTTGATATTAAATTATCTCGATGGACTAGAGTTAGTGAAATATCTTTAAAAAAATGTTTCCCTCTTATGCTGAATCTCTTCTTTTTTTCATCGGTTTTGTTCATGAGTTGGATTGCTCTCTGTGTGTTTGTGCATAATTAGGTGGCAGTCTATGACTATATCTGGACAGCGGAAGACCCCTCTGCAGGATCTGAAACCCCAAGAGAGGGTGAACCCTTACCTGAGGGAGAGACCAGCACCCATGTGGCAATTTTCACCCTTTACCTGAGTGGAAGGAAACAAACATACAGGCGTTTCCTCAGGCAGCCGGATGGTGCCATCACTGAGGTGAGATATTAATATACTGTTAACAGTCTATCAAAGGATTGATGCTACGTTTTCTAGACTAATGCAGGAAATGAATGCAAAACAATCATTGAATTACACTTTTAAATGGTTTAGCAGAATCAGTCCTGCAATAATTATGTACAGAAAGCTTGTACCGTATTTTCTGGACAATAAGTTGAACTTTTTTTTTCATAGTTTGGCTCGGTTTGCGACTTATACTCAGGTGCAACTTATATATACTTAAATATATAATTTCACATATAGTCTGACGATAGTCATGCAAAAGAGGAAGGAGCGCTTCGTTCACTTCGGAAGTTAGCGGAATTGTTCAGAAGTGACACCAAGGATGAAGAATTCAATAGATCTAGAGATTTGGAGTGAGAACGAGAGTTTGGTCAACTTGTTTTGTCATGTTTTTTATACCATAGTTATCTGAATAACTGTTAATATGTTACGTTAACATACCAGACACCTTTTGAGTTCGTTGTTTATGCTTCATGTAGCTGAATAACCATCAACTTGTTACGTCAGCGTACCGTACACCTATTCAGCCTGTTGCCTTTCAAGATGAAATGTCTGTTCTTGGTCTTGGATTTTGTAAAATAAATTTCCCCCCAAACATGCGACTTATACTGGTATATGTTTTTTTCTTCTTCATTATGCATTTTCTGGCTGGTGCGACTTATAGTCCGGAAAATACAGTCGCTACAAAAGGAGGCAGAGATGCATGAAAGAGTCACAGAGCACTTCCTTCTTTTTGCTCTCTCTCTCTCTCTCTCTCTCTCTCTTTGTGTGTCTCCTCCCTCTTTAGGAAAGCAAAAAAGAAACCATAAAGGACCTGTAGTTTTGTTCTCTTGCCTCCATTTAGAGCCAGATTTAGGAAATGCCTGGACATGTGAAAAGGAAATCAAGACGGACTTTTCAGACAACAATTGTGTAATTACCTGTTTATGTTGCGTTGGGCTGTATAATGAGGTTTAATTCATAAGAGTAAGAGAAAAGAGTCAGTGATCCTCCACTTGACCGTGAATAAATGATCAAAACTCGCATTTAGTCTCTGTTCCTCGGGTCTCTGCCAGACAGGCAGGTCAGAAACAGAGTGATTCACAGATTGCTGCCTAATTAAAAGTAGAGCTTTGTGACAACTGCTGCAGAAGTGAGAAGTCATTCCCTTCCTCAATCATTCTGTCGGTCGCCCAAGAGCGACCTGGATCATCCCAACAGAATTAATATTTTGAAGTTTGAATGTCAGCAGAGCGAGGGAGGGAGGAGGGAGTTTGTGCGCCAACAATTAGCTCTGAGGCTCTTTTGCGTTCTAATGGTTCTCCGTCATAATTTGAGTGATGGTGAGCTGATGTGAGTAAACACACAGCATGGTATATTTATTACTGGTGTCGCACTGTCTGTGTGTGTGTGTGTGTGTGTGTAGCCTCTAGACCTGTGCATAGCAGATGAGACATCTGGGGGGATTGTTCACAGCCAAACAGCACAGACAAACACATGCATATCAAGACTCGCAGTGAGAAAAAAGGGACATGTTACAGAATACATAAAAACCTACGACACTTAAACACCAAATTCAGACGCCGGGACAAATTCGCAACACTCGTGTAACCCTGAATCACAAACTCACTGAGGGTAAAAGAATGAATTTGTGGTATCTCTGCAAAGCAAAAATCATATCTTCTGTGCTGACTCTCCATTCTTTAAACTGTGAAGCGAGTTTCATGGAGGCAACCTTAAGTGAAAGATATCTGTAACTGTCCTTGGGAAATACACACACATGCATACACACACACACATGCATACGCTATCTCTCTGTTGCTCTCTTTTCTCACACACACTGTGTCCCTTGGGTGTTGCTGTCTGTTCTTTGCAACTTAACAGGCAGGGACCTCCAGTAGCAAGAGATGCCGATAGCGTCCTCTTTCACCCGCTGGTATGGGGAGCGATAACACCGCATCGCCGAGAGAGCACGATGCCATTCCCCTTCGCCTCGCAGCAGGGACCCCCACTTTACATATTCAAAACTAATCCTCCCCTGAATATATAGACTGGTTTTATGTATAGAGCACGATCCAGGAATCACCAAAGGGCATCTCCAGCACTCGGAAGAACACTTGAGCTGATTTTATTAGTGCTTCATATAATTCTGGCAGCGATGCACACACACTGAGACAGGGTGCTGTGTACAAACTGGCCTTCAGATGGAAGGTGACAGCTCCTGGGAGAGAAATAACAGCCGTGCAGGCACTTCTACAAAAATTAAATAGATAAAAAATATAAAATGAAATAGGAAAAGGCTCCTCGATGAGATGCAGTGACCACAGTAATGCAGGGAAGTTCCCCTCTGTTCTTAGATTTATGACATTTTAAAGCAATTTTATGGGTTTTCCTGTACAGCCTTATTACTTTATTCACTTATCCGAATAATAGCGTGTTTTATGGTGATGTGGTTACACTGCTATGTTACTAGACAAATATTATGTAGCATGAATCCTATTTGAGCAATAAAAAGTAATGTTATTTGTTTTACTAGACGCTGAATCTGCTGAGGTATTTTTGACATTTTCACGCCGCTTTCTAGCAACTTACCAAACCAAAACTGAAATTAAGGAAAACTACTTTAATTTTCTTTTTCTTACTTTTTGTTAAAAAATATATATGTTGATGGAGCTAGAAATTGGAGTCAGACAGTAACAAGAAAAAACTTCATTTGCCTGTGACTCAATTCTCTGTCCCACTTAGCTAAAGACTAATCCCGCTACTTAAGGAGTCTGTTTCCATTTACTGAGGAAATATTGACGGATGGCTCATTTCCTTTAAAGAGCTCTGTTTTCTCAGGCAGTGTCCTGGACACCGATGCCCCGAAGGACCGGCTCCTCCCTTAGACTAACATGACCACAGCTCCAGGGGGAAGCAGCTTTGCATAATAACCTCAAATTTACTCCCAAAATTTGTCTAAACGAACACCTTAAAAAGCAAGTCCTGGAAGAAGTGCCCTGAGCTATAGACACTGTTAGACACTGTTTGGAGGGAACCGAACAGCGAGGTGTGTCCTGTTTGATTTGCTGGAAAGTGAGAGGCTGAACGAGAGTCATGAGAAACTAAATATTTCTCTTGTTTATTCAGCCATTATTGACTGAAACTTATTTTTCTCTCTCTGTGTTGCATCGTTACAAGAACAGGAAACAGGGAGCAAAGGAGAGAAGTTGAAGTTGTGGGAGTGCAGTAAAAAATATAACGATAATGAAGTCTTTATTGACTCGCATATTGAATTCTGTTTAAAGAAAGTTAATATTAATGATCCATCATATGCTCTCATTCAGCTCATCGCCCAAGGCAGGTGTCGGTAATATTGACCATGCTGGGAGAATCTTCAAGCTGAAGCACAACAATACAAAAAGTTAAAGCTACATTCCCATCAGTGTGCTCCAATAAAAGACATTAAAGGTAAAGTGAGGTGTAGCTTTTCAAACACTCATTACCTATAAACAGATGTTCCCCAGCTGCCGACTCACAAAAAAACACTGCTGACAACAACTGTTAAGGCCGAAATTATGCAGAGAAATGCATCTCTATAACCTAGGACCTTCAGAGAAGGCCTCATAACCACTCTGTCTGAAGAAACAAGATGGCTGATGAAGAAATTAATGCAGGCAAAGTCATTATCTTCCCTCCTAAAACCACAGTGGGTTTATGTCCCCCTGTGTCGCTTTTTCTCTGGGGCTAGCATTTAAGTGTCGATGGACTTATAAAAGATAGGACAAGCCAACTGTGCTCCTTTTGTCTCCTTCCCTCCATATGGGAGGCTGCAGCATATGCAAGAACTGGCTCGGCTTCTGTAAAACTTCCATTAAAGATGCACAACTAAGGCTCTGCCAGCTTGAATATTACCTCTCTGCGCAAATTATTTATGGCTCGGAAAAAACGCTGATGATGAGCATCTCCAGCGACTTGTCTAAATAAAAACACTTTTCTCTGCAATTTCAGCTGTGCTTCTTTTTTCCTGCCTTTTTTTTTTTTTCAGGGATGTGCTTAACCATTTGTAGAAACGAAAGGTATGCAGTTTTGTTCACATACTAAGGTTTGAGCTGTAATGCGTTTAATTATTGGAACCTCAGCTCTGAAGACTGCTTTATTATGTAGGGTTTGTATAATTAGGAGGCGATATCCTTTAGATTTTGTTGAGAAGCTTCTGCTATTTCTTACAGTTGTTACGTAAAAAAGACAGAGATGATTAATATGAGAAACAGAGGACAGGGCAGCGCTCTTTCATCCAGACACCTCATCATCATGATACGCCATTAAACCGCTCATTAACAAGGCCCCTTTGTCTTTTCTTTCCATGACTCAGCCTTGCCGTCCGTCTGCACATGACTGAGACTCCTCGCCGGACCAATATTGACCTAATTTAGCATGCGAAGAATATGAAGAAGTTAACCTTTGGGAAAAAACACCTTGCAGCAACATTAATTGACAAACCGCATCAATTCTCCCTCCTACCCCTCTTTTGTAATTACTCCGCCGCACGTTTGATTGCCGCTGTGGAGCTGAGGACCCACGCTTCATTTGCCGTGAGGTCATCGGCAGCCCTCAGAAATATGAATATGATTTATACAGGAAGTGCGTGTGCTGCTGCGTGTGTTAGAGACACAGAAGAAAAGAGAGAGGGGAATGTCCTTGGCTACGTACTGTATGTTGCATGAGGAGATTAATGCCTCCCTGGCAGCCATATCTGCTTAGCAGGAGGACTTCTCCAAAGTACACCGCATGTAATTATCAGGCAAGTTTATACTAGTTTTAGATAAAGAGGCACTCTGTGGCACATTTTTCAAGTTGCCTCAATTGCTGCTCTATCTGTGTAATTTGGAGCTTCAGAGAAGTGCCAGCCTTCCTTTTTGACACCATGCTTCTGCTGTGAAATACAGCGGCACTGAACTGAAAGAATGCAGAGGTTATTTTGAGTTGAACTATAATTCTCTTCTTGTTTTTATTTATGCATAAAAATTGCCGTGCATACATTTTCTTACGCGTCATGAAATGATATATTTTTGTCTTTTCACAGCGTCTCATATCTTGTCATTTAACAGTGACATTGAAGATAAATTTCATATTGCTGTATACAAGTAGGCCAACCCAGATTTGTAAGAGCTGTTTCCCCCCTGGGATAAGAGGCAGTGTGTCATATAAAGTCTCCATTTCTGTTTCATCTCCAAGTTCACTCTCAGCACCAGGACAGAGGTAGAGACTGTGCATGACAACACTGTCAGCAGGCCTGGAGGACAGTAGCAGCTCTCCTGCCAATCTCAGTCACTGTCATCCAAGTTCAACCTGCACTTTCAGATGCTTGAAACACAGAGCTGCGGGGTCTCTTCAAGCTGTTTGAATTCATTGTATTATTATTTAGAAAAATATGAAACTCCACCTAAAGAGCAATCTGCTTTGGTCTTCCTGCAGGTGATTGGAGACATGGAGGGGTTGAGCGACGCAGCCAGGACGGTGCCCTGCGAGGGTCAAAGCTCTGCTGATAAGAGAGGAGAAAAGGAAGCTTCAAGTGCTCCACGGCAGCTGCGGAAACGCAAGAAACTGTTTCAGCGTGAGTGATAACATAACGCTCTTTTTAGACAAAAGATGTTGATTCATCCAACACCGATGATGTTTGTGTTCTTATCAGCTCCTCTCTCTCACACACATGTGACTTCTTTACCTGCTGTTTACTCTTTCTAATGAAGTGTTTTCACTCCCTCAGGGTCTCATCGTGTCGAACCTGCAGGAGGAAGTGGGTGTGACTCCAGTTTTGCGCTGCAGGATCTCCACCAGTAATGTCAGAGCAAAAGGAAAGAGAGTTGGATCCAAATGTGGGTGTTTCTTTTATCAATTATAACTGTTGCATGTGACTACTTGAAGGGAGAATTTAAAATGAATATTTATCAGTTTAACACTCGAACTACCAAAGCAGTCATTTTGATTGCTTTCAAAATTTACAATGTAATAACTTCTTTAAAATAAAACGTTACACCAGTCGCACCCTGACTTTTCCTAAATGTGTGGATATTTTATTCTAACATTGTTTTATCATAAAAATTTCAAAACACAAAAGAGACTTAAATATTAATAATGATAATGATAATACATTTTATTTGTAGTGCCCTTTACATCAAGCGACCTCAAAGGGCTACATCTTAAAGCAAAGAAATTTCACAGTAAAGGAATATAAAAACAGGTTATTGGTTAAAAACAAGAGAAACATCTTCTTAAAAGAGTAAAAGCAAGATAAGAATCTATGAGGAGGAACCAAAAGTTCTGCTTAAAAGTAAAGTTTTGAGTCTTTTTTTAAAACTGTAAGTGGATTGTGGTGCCTTCAGGGTGTCGAGGAGGGCGTTCCAGAGGCGTGGGGCAGCAGCACAGAAGGCCCTACCTCCCATGGTCCTAAATTTGGACTATTACTACCTCAAATGACCGGAGCAGTCAAATTGACTGCATGTTTTTTTTTCAAAAGAGTGTTTTATTTTGCCATTTGCTACATTTTCCCGCTCTTTCTCCTTCTCTATTGTTTATTTTGTACTTTAATCTCTGTGAAGCTAATATCTTTTTAAAACTTTACTAAACTCTCAAGAGACTCAAAAATGACAACTAAGAGAAAAATGACAAGTTCGGAGGCTTTAGCCTTGCTTCAGGGACTTGATGAGGAAGAGTCCGATGGATGAGCAAGTTCAGGGAATGATGTGTCCTGGTATTTTGAGGAAGGTTTTAAAAATCTCATTCATTATAATATTCATTTTGTGAACCGATGTGTTTTTTTATCTATTCCACCAATTTATTATTAGTTTTTATTGTTGCTTATCCAAATTATGTGCAAATAAAGACTGAGCTGTACAAATGACTGCCATGGTCAAGAATTTTGTTAGACCGAGTGTTAAAAGCGCAATGATTAGAAAACCAGAGCTCAGAGAAATGACTGATATATGAAACTTTACATGCAAGTCAACACTAAATATCCCTGTGACCTGATGGGTGTTTGTACTCTAATTAACAATGTTCAGCAACACTAATAAATGCAGGTCGTTGGGTTTTCAGTGCTGCCTCAACACAATGAAAGATGAAGATGCTAAAAGTCGCTAATCAGAACACGAGTGATAAAATATCAATATTGGCCTCACATTAAGCAGGATAATATTCAGGCCAGCTTGATTTGTATTGAATATGTGTCTGCTAGCCGGTGCTCAGAGTAATGAAGTGGCTCACAAATCAGGCCATAATGGCTGCCTACTTACACATATTGCTTAATTAAAGGTTGTGAGCTTATTAGCATGTGTCTCTGGCACAGGGCGCGTGGAGATGGGAATCAGGACTCGTGTCATTGAGGGCCGGGCTTTAAAGGTTTTATAGATAGCTAACCTATCATACTAAAACCCTAGCCCCCCCTCTGCTAAAATCGTATCTTAATAACCTGTCATTTTCATTGATGATGATTCCCCTTTATGAGCGGCCATTATGGATCAACTTCTGGCTGTTGCTGGACGGTGATAGTGGCCATTCATGCTCGACATTACCTAGAACATGCCTTACTTTGGCCTTGAAGTTGCTCCTCACCTCCATGTTTAAACCATCATAGTGTTGGCCTCGGGGGCGTGGTGCACACACACACACACACACATACACACACTGCTCAACACATTTTCCCTCATTTGTACACACGCCAAGTACTTTTATGTCTGATCTCTGAAATAGCTGAAGGGCTCTTCAACCTAAAAGTTCAATTAAGAGAAAATTTGGTCAGGATTACTCCCCTATATTTGATATGAAACTGACTAAATGCAGCAATCTGCATACGATTTAATGTCTCCGTGTGGTAATGCTTAACAGACCTTGACATTTTGTTTATTCTAGTGTTTTTTTTTTCAGCACTAGAAGGATTTATTTAGTTGCATCCTGTCCTTCTGTCTGCCTTTGACGCTAGCCAGAGCCTATGGAGCTAATGCGCTCCAATTAGAGATCACTCCATTAACAGTGACAGTGCTACACCCCCCAATTCAATCAGCGCCCTAATGAACATTAAGCAGAGATGCTGCTTCCCAGAGATGACAGGAGGCTCCTCTGTTCCTCCATCTCTCCTACCTTTCTATCTCTTTTTTTTCCACTTTTCTCATTCTTTCGCACATCTTTTCTTTTTCTTTATCTGTGGTGACTCCATGCAGCAATAACCCTGTATTAATGTTTAACTTTGATGAATCACTATTTTTTCATCTCTCCGCTTTCACCAACTCTTCATTTCATCACCATCATCAAAACAATGCCCCCTGCAATACCGACCAACTGGGTGCAAAGGGTGCAGATACAGAAAGGGCAAGGGTATTTCAACGGTTCAAATATTTGATTGTTAATGACAAACACCATTTCACCACAATTTAAATTTCAAATTGATCCCTAGAAGCAATTATTTCTGGGGGAGAGAAACACGCCGCTAGGTCTGTGCTCCACACATTTGCTGATTTAAGTTAAAAGAAAACCTTTTTGCAGAGCTATCATAAGGGAGCTGCAACTTTTTGAAGTAGGCAGCCCGCATCTGCTTAGAGCCAACCCAACCTGGGGATGTTGCTGGAGAGCACGAAAATAAAACATAAAAAGAAAAAAATAACACTTTGTCTAATTCTATATTTATGTAGCCCTCAGCTTGAGGTGTTCACATAAAACAGTTTGCATTCAGAAGTGCTGCGGTGATCGTTATGCTGCATGTTGAGATCGGCGCTTCTCCGGGCACAGTTGGCGGGTCGAGCTCAGCCTGATTCATTTGAATTAAAGTTACCAAACTAAATAAAAGGGATTCAAATTCCCACTTTTGCTGCTTTGTTTTCCCTTTTTCAAACCGTTTCTGATTGTATTTTTTGAGGCAGAGCACTTCTTTTGATGAAGACCTTCATTTGCAGTCTTTGCATACGTGTCTGAATATGATTTGTGTTTGATGTTGAAATGTAATTATGTGCTTCTCTTGAAAAGCTTTGTGCTCTGACGTTGTTTGATCAAAGAAAACCTGCACTATATCATCCATTAAGGATGTCTGACTGTATTTTCAGCTCGAATCGGTGTACCTGAAGTACTCATTAAACTGTCATTAGACATCAGGATTAAGTGAAACTTTTAAAGTGAAACTTTTTGATATTTTCTACATTGATTGGAAATAAATGTTACAGAGCTTATTTAATTGTTTTATCATTTTTTAAACAATGTGCGGCACGAGTTAAACTCACACAATGTTAAAGGTGTAAAGAGTTTAGCATCCTCTCCTCTGCATCATGGATTTTAGTTGCTCCTGACTCTACATAACCTGCAACACCAGTGTCAGTGTGGCATTTATGTCTCAATGGTAGAGCAATAATATGCAAAACACATTTAAATTCCAGACCTCTGTCAGGTTTTTCTGCTCGGGCTGTATTCTTCTCCGCTGACCCCGAACATTATTTCCTGGTGCTTAAACCGCGGAAAACCCACACGGTCAGGGTGTGCGGGAGATGTCAACATCGTGCCATATTTCTGTGGCATCTGGATAGATCATGTGCCTCTCTGCACACATATTTATTTATTTTTCCTCTTCCAGAGTGGTGTCAGGGAGGCAGATGTCCTGCTCACAGGAAAAAAATAATTTGCGGTGAAGAGAGAGGAGGGGAGGTGGAGGGAAAAAAATATATGAATATGCAAATCTTGTCACAGTGTGGAACCTTGTAATGAGTGGGAAATGTTGTTGCCATCTTTCATTATGCAGAGGTCATTGCTTAATGCCAGGCAGCTGGGCCTAGCTTCTTCTCTCTGCATCCCCCTCCCCTTCCTTCTTCCACCCCCAACCTCTGCTGTCATCTCACAGTGACTTCAACCAAACTACAGCCTGGCACGAAGCAACATGGAGGTCACAGACAGACCCATCCCCACTAACATCTTCACACAAAACACCTGCACATGCTTTTAAAACACAACCCTGTAGCTTCAGTTTTGTTGATTATTTTCTTACTCTTGAATTTTGAGGTTTAATACAAAATTGTTTGAAAACACAAATTAAAATGAACATTAAAAAGCAGTCCATTGAAAGCTATTTCAAGTTGAATGTTGAACCAATCACTTTCCGTTGTTTCCTAATGATCGAGCCGTCTGTGTTTCATAGACAGAGACAGCTCACTACCATTCTGTCTCCACTTGCAACAGCTTTCCAGAGATTTCCGCTGGCGTCTCCCCGACATTGAGCTATGGAGCTAATCATTAGGTAAACTCGTCTCCTTTACTCTCGCACGCGCTCTTCAAATAATCCAGAGTTTGAATGCTAAAAATGTAATGAACTTCATGGTTCATTGTGTCTGACATTGCTTAATTAATGGGTGCATTTAAAGTACATAGGACCCTGGTAATTGATTTATATGCATGATTTGCACATACAGCTGTTGGTTCCTGTAGGAGACTCATCACTCAAAAAGTGGCAGTGCAGATGATAGGCTGTAGTGAGGTAGGATCAGGATGTTCTGCTGGCCAGCACAGCCTGTGGAAGAAAGGACTAATTTCAAATTTAACATATTTTCCTTTGGCTTTATCAAGAAGCACTTTTAAATTTGACTTGTAATAGACTCGGCCTGGCAACATCTTAAAACATGAAAACGTTTGGTCTCCTGTAGGAAAATGTTTCGTAAGGGTATGCTTGATGAGGAGGGTGGACAGTTTTTCGTGCCACACGAAGCAATTAAACGTACTTGCTCCGACACGGCGCTTTAACTTGGCTGTCTTTTTTTTTTTTTTTTATCCGTCTACACTCCCAGTCGCTTGTTTCCACACAGACAGACTGCACCTGCCAGCATAGAGCCGGCTGCAGCGTGGAGACACCATCAAAAACAATGCCCAGGCAGTCTATGGATATGTGATCCAAGGTACACACCATGCATGTGACAGGTTGTGGTTAAAATAGACTTAAGCAAATATAGATAATGCTCTTCGCCTTGTTTGACTGTGTACTGTGTCCTGCACTGATGTTTTTTTTTTGTTTTTT